TCTTTCCATCCACATGGCAACCGATCTGAGTGCGGGTGAGTCTATCATGCAGCTCATTTATATACAAGTTAAGAAGTTGAGGTGAACTAATTCCACATTGTCTCACGCCTCATTTCAACTCGTACCGTTGAGAAAGGCTCTGTCCATTTTACATGATTGGTTTAATGATTGTACCAATAGTAAAAGATACCCAGGAGATACGGAGACGAATTACATTCGGCAAGTTTTTCCAAAGAATGTGTTACGATACCAGGTCATGATCAGGCTCCCAAGTCCCAACGGATCTAAGAAGCATCCATAAGCCGGGGTATTGCGATCTGTATAATATCTGACTGTATGTTTTAATCCAAATAACATTGCATTTTCTATTGACAGCCTTTCCCTAAAACCAAACTATGCATCATGAAGTTAAAGAGCCTTTTCTAACTCATTGCTTAGTAGCCTGTCGAGGACCTTGCCGTCGCTGTTGCTAAAGAGATAGACCGGTAGTTGTTTTATCTGAAATATATCCAGTTTTAGTTTTCACTATAGGTACAAAAATCTTTTTAATCAAATCTCTAAGTATGACATATGTACAGTAAATAAAACACGGAGAGACCGTCATGTCCCGGAGACTTACCAGTAGACGTATGTACTTTCTAATGTAATAAAGAAGTGAATAAAACATATTTATTTTTATTATATCATTATATTTATTTTTATTATATCATTGAGTAAGCTTCCAGCGTACGGCTTATCCCCTGGTCTGATTGAATGGGTAAAGGACTTTCTGAGTGAATGGTATCTCCGGGTCGTCGTCGATGGCTGCTCATCCGATACTAAGCGACTAACGCCGGTGTTCCTCAGGGGTCCGTTCTCGCCGCAACTCTCTCCTTGCTGCATTTTAATGACCTGCTTATGCCCGGTATCTATGGGTATGCAGACGACAGCACAGTTGTTGAGAGATACCAACCAAGTCCTCGGGCCAGTCGGGATCAAATCCATTCCGAAAGAGAAGCTATGGTAGAGCGTGTGAATCTCACATTACAGGCAGTCTCCGATTGGGGCGATGCCAATCTTGTGAAGTTCAACGCCTCCAAAACACAAGCGTGCCTCTTCACTGCAAAAAGGAGCCAGCTCACCTTGGCTCCTTCTTTCCGAAATGTATCACTGAAATATACCGACCACCTTCAGTTGTTAGGGTTTGAAATATCCTCAAATTTGAACTTCGGGTGGTTCCTTTAATCCAAGACTAAAGCAGCTGCAAGGAAGCTGGGAGTCTTTGCAAAGGTGCGGCGATACTTCACGCCCGAACAGCTGCTTACTTTATATAAAGCGCAAGTCCGATCGTGCATGGAGTATTGCTGCCATATATGGGCTGGTGCTGCAAAATGCCACCTAGTAGCTTTGGACTCAATTGAAAGGCGTGCTAAGAGGCTTTTGGTGACCCGAATTTGGTTAAAACTAATCTTACCAGCCTCGAACACAGACGTAAAGTAGCCAGCCTCTCGGTTTTCTACAGGATGCATTTCGGAGAGTGTGCGCAGGAATTACATAATTTAATTCCACCCTCTTCCTTCCACCATCGGACAACCAGACGTTCGGGCAGTCTCCAACCTTTCGTTGTTGACTTACCACGCATTCGAACCAAACGGTTCGCCACGTCGTTCATCATGCGTACAGCAAAGGAGTGGAATAAGTTGCCAGCATCTGTCTTTCCATCCGATTACAGTGTGGGTGTCTTCAAGGCAAGAGTGAATAGGCTTTCGTTAAGTCAGTGCGCTTCACTATCTTAGGCTATATCACCACTTACCATCAGGTGGGATCGTAGATCAGCGCTGGCTTAGTATAATATAAAAAATCAACTGTTATTGTAATATCTTATACTATATAATATATGTGACGTAAATACTCATGTATACTTGGTTTCATATCTTTATTATCAAACTGAATGTCATTCATCTTGTGCAACTTGATTGATAGAATTGGAATGAGAAAAGATATTGTTGTGACGGCTTAAAACATATATTGATTTTATCTTGCGAAAATAAATCACTGATAAATTGTACTTAACCGTGTTTCTCTTTTTTTAATACGTTACCTACGTACTAGTATTTTCTCCCGTATGCGTACATAAGTTTCACACACAGACCACCTAATGGTAAGAGGCCCATAGACATCTACATCTATCTTCATTTGTGAATCAAAATGCCAATGCATTTTCAGGCGTGAGGACGAAAATTGAATGTCTCTTATCCAGAAAAAAGGTGTTTTAAAAAATAGCCTTAGCACTGTAACTCATTGCTAAGCGACTGGGACCTAGAAACAAACCATAAAATGGGCACCAGCGTTTTCCACATAACAAATAAAATATATTAGGCTTTCTATAGGGGAGGCTTATAGTCAGCTGTGGACTTTTGATATTCAAATGATGAATTTCAAAATTTCATAAAATATTTTAAATATTTTTTTGTTTTTGTCGGTTGTTGGTAAATCGTAGTGGCGGTGTAAGAATATCCACAGCCTTATATCATCCCGTAGGAGTCGTAGTAGAAAGAAATTAGGAGATGGGCAGCAACATAATTTATTTATAATTTTTTATAATAATTTTATTTATAATTTATAATTTTTTTTAATTTTCTTGATATTAATTTACATCGTGGTAGAGCCATGCTGCAGCTATATTAATAGTGTAGTTGTAGCACGAATGAGTCGGCTAGACCGGGGAAAGACCACGTTCTCACATAATACCAGCGAAAATAGCAGCTTAATGCCGCTGTGTTTCGTATGGTGAGTGTAAAGAACCGGAGACCCTTTTTACTGGAAAAGAGGCATTCGATCTTAGTCCTCACAGCTAATAACGCATCTGCATTTTAATTCGCAAACGAAGATAGATGTAGATGTTTATGGGCCACAGCAACCACTTACCATCAGATAGACTATGTGCTCGTTTGTCACCCTTATTCTATAAAAAAAGTACAGTTACCGTGTAGTGGCGGTGTAAGTAAATCCACTACCTGATATCATCCCGTGACTGTCGTAAGAGTTGCCAGAGGAAAACAAATCAGGATATGGACAGGAGCGTCTTCTAAATAATGAGTAATGATAAAGAAATCTTCAGTTGCCAATCCACTTGCAAAGTGTGACAACTACAGCCCATTAGGCAATCTATAGGGAAGATCTGTGTTCAGCAATGAACTTTTGATATGGTGTTATTGGAAATGAATTAAACATAACTCTGCTTACTATGTAGCAGGGCCTTGTCTAGCAGTTCAGATGTGTTAGCTCATTGTCACTAATGTACAGTTGTGGAATTTCTTAGTCCCTTATATCTTGATGCTGAATATTTTTCTGCTTTGAAACGTTACTTAGAACATTATTCCACACTTATAAATAAAATTGAATTGATTGTTCATAACATTTATCATTACACACACATAATAACATCGACAGTAACAGAGCTACATGCAATAAACATAAATTTAACAACAAAAGTCACACAACATGTAATTAAAATTTTATTAGCATTTTGGCCTATTGACAGAATGGAGGGGATAGAATAGAATTATAAATGCCTTTACTATGATCATGTAAAATGTCATAATTATCTTGCCTTCGTTCCTCGTTCCTAACAAGCTCCGTCAAATCATGTTGCACATCTCCTACAGTATCACTCGTGATTAAGACATGATTAACTATTTAAAAATGGAAAATATCTTGAAAAGGAAAAATAATTTCATGTTTAATTTCACCAACTCTCCCTTTTGTTCCACGAACTCCTCCCATACAATACAAATTATAGTATTATTTTTCTATAGAAGAAGCAAACAAGCATGCGACTAACCTGATGGCAAGCGTCGACCGCCGTCGATAAACAACTGAAGGCCAGGGGAATTGCAGGTGCGTTGACGGCTTTTTAAAAAGGAGTAAGTTTGTTTCTTGAATGTTCGGAAAAATCGTCGGTGGTAAACGATTCCACAAAGAAGTTTTGCGAGGAAGTGTAATAGATCCGCATATGGTAACTAATATAATTAGGCTTTCTCTTTATTTCTCTTCCTTAGCATTCCATTTAAGTCCACATCTGGAGATGGGGTTCTCCTGTTGTACGAAGGATTTTCCTCACACTTACAAAGAGGATTGAAAATCACAGTACCAGACGACTTTGACGATAGACGTTATTTTGCAGGTACATAAATAAACCGGATAGAGGCGATTGTGATAAAAATTGAATACGGTAGAAAACTTTACAGAAGAGAACCATAAGAGCAATATATGATTGAAAAACCAAAGAGTCGCTAAGAGAAAAATTTAAGGAATCCAATGTAATATTAACTTTGGCCTCTTAGTTTTCGTAAACACATTTACAAATACCAAAATGCATGTACACAAAAAGAAAAGTAGTTTTAATAAAATTAGTGATTTTAATTCTGTAAATACTAGGAACAGGTACAAGCTAGTAGTACCAGTTACTAGACTCTAGCAAGTAATTAATTATGTCTTAGGACGATGTATACGGTTTTACAACAAAATCCAGAAAATATACAAAATTTCAACTCTGCGAATTTCATAAACTTTATTAAACATAGTTTGTAGAAAAGGGTTATTATAATATTAAATAATTTGTGTATGATAATAACCCCTGGGAATGAGGTGATCGCTAGTACGTTATTTCTAATTTGTATTGTTGTTAATTGTGTAACATATACAATTTTATACAGTTTATTATCAAAAGGAGGTCCATACGAATATCTCTTCACAGGAAGAGATATTCTCCGAACCATTGGTAAATTAAACATAAGAGTGACTCTTAATTGTTACTATTAAGTGTAATATAATCTATGTCGAATAAAAAAGTTTCTACTTCCGTATTTTTACTCACACTTAGGTTCACAATTCAGTCTGAATTGTGATACAAGAATAATCAACTTTTTTTTCTGTCTTTTATTAAATTAATTATATTATACATTATTTCTTCACATACAAAAATAAATAAAACAATTATTATCTAATTAAACAGCTATTCACTTCGGCGATTTCATTTCTGAAACAAATGAGAAATGTGTGAAAGTTGCTTTTTATTTTATTTACATATCAATTATATATATATATATATATCGGTTCAGGTGCCAAAACGAAAATATCAGAGAACCGATTTGAATGGGACTTTCATAAAAGTGTTACTTAGAGGTCAAACCGTAGGAATAAATATATATCATAGCATTTTTTTTATAGAATATGGGTGACAAAAACGAGCACACAGTCTATCTGATTGTAGGTAAATGCTGCGGCCCAAAGACATCTATATTTATTCTCCATTAAGAATCAAAATGCAGATGCGTTGTCACCCATGAGAACCAAGATGGAATGCCTCGTTTCCAGTAAAAACGGTCTCCAGTTTTCTACACTCACCCTAGAAACATAGCAGGATTAAGCTGCTATTTTACGCTGGTATTCTGTGAGAGCGTGGTCTTACCCCGGACGAGCCCACCAATTCGTGCTACAACCATAATATAATAACAGCGTGGCTCTACCTCGTATAAATATATAAATAATGATTTAGCGTTATTGCAGTTCCTGAAAATACGACTAAGAAAGGCTTCTACTTTTTTTAAATTATTCCAAATTGAAACTAGGCGTACGTGCACACCTCTATGTGCGATTCAATTCACAACGTTTTTACCGACCGATCGACCATCACGAATGTATGCGTGCATAGTAAAATAGTAGGCGTTAGATATTTTAGGATAAACATTAGTTTACATAGTGCACTACCAGATATTTTGAATTAAAAAGATAAAAAGGACAAAACGTTTCACATTTTTTTTTAAATTAATTTGATGTCAGTCGGTTATTAAAATTAACTATGTACGAGTATATAAAAAGCAACTGTTGTCCGATAGTCTCGTTAAAACTCAAAAAAGGTCGACCGATTTAATGTTTTGTGTGTATTTAAATTGGTCCCTAGATGGTTTAGATTTACATTTCGACCCGGTAGATGGCGCTGTTGTCAAGATCCAAAAATCACCCGTGCGAAGCCGGAGCGGATCGCTAATTACAAATAAAATTGAAGTGTCTTCGTATAACATTGAAATAACTGGCTTCTAGCTCAGGAGATTACTTTTGCATGCTATTAAGACATAAACAACCATTTTTAAAAGTTTTGTTTATCTGTCTGTATAGGCTAATCTTCGGAATGGCTGAACCAATTCTTTAATTATCTTAAATTCTAAAAAAAACGCCAAATTGATTGATCCTATCCAGGAGAAGCCGGGACGGGTCGCTAGTATTCAATAAAATATTAAATAACCTACCAATATCAGTTTCTTTCTCATGCTCATTCCACGGTTGCTTCTTTGACGTCATAAATATTAAAAAGAAAAGATTGGTGATGAAATAAACTCCGGAGGCGAGGAAGAATACTTTCCGCCACTCCGCTGGATCGGTCTGTAAAAAAATATCATGTTATCAAGAGGAATACACAAACCCATTGACTTACTGTTACCATTACAGCTTATTAAAATGCACTGCTGAACATAGGCCTACCCCATAAATTGCCATAGCTGCCATGCATGGCAAGCTGGTTGTACTGTTTTATTTTTATTTTTAGTCGTCATTAAGAAGACGCTGTTTACGTTTGTGGTAGCTTAGGGAGGGTTAAAGTGGAAGGAGACGAAGAGTTTTTCCTATATTACTTTTATTTTCTAACTTACAAGTTAACTATTAAGTGACATACAATATTTTATTATATAACTTAATTATATAACTCAATTATCATACAGTCTTAATCCCCGTGGTTGTCGTGCCAAGAGCGCTGGATGCTTTGAGCGAGAAAAAAACCAGCCCTCTTGTCACTAGCAGCAACGACCAGTCGCGGATAGGGTTCCTTCAGGAACTTCACCACACTTGGACCCCACGAATCGTGAGTCTCTACAGCAAATGGCACAAATTTGTAGTAATCTCTCAGATACTTATATTTGCGCCACTTACTCAGCTCAGCTACCTCTGATGCCGCCTCAGCTCTAAATGAGATACCCCTGAGATGAGAGGCCGCCAAAGTGTCTACGTAAAGTAGCATCCCACACTGGGACTTTACGTCTCTCCAAAGGGACCAATGTCATACAGTCACGTCGGGTCTCCTGCCACCGTCTCTAAATATTCTACAAGATTCTAAAACCGAGGGAATATTTACAGAGACAAGAGCCCTTCGGATGACTTCGTTCAAAGAACCGTGCTGTGTAAACCTACCAGGGTTTTTCTTACATGAAATTCCGTGGAGCCTTAACTTGGCAACTTGGCAAACAGGGGCACTGATGGGGTTGACTAATCGCCGCTCGTAGTCGGATTCTTTCGGCGTTGCGCACGCTTTCCCCATCAAGTAATGTGCCGAGATTACTTGATGGTAAGCGTGTAACCAGTGACTAGATTCCTTAGTCGAAACAGCTAGATGGCGTGGCAGACCTTGGTTATTATGGAAATTATGAAACAGTTATTTAGTTAACTTAACTACTGCGACGATGTGAGTACACAGGAATACTAGACTAAACTAACTTACAAACTAACTTAACTACTACTGGGTTGTTTTAATAATTAGACCCTAGGTTTTATACTATAATGAATATTCTTAAATCACGTAAAAAACGTGCTTTTATTTGCTTTAACAGGTGATGCTGTATTGTAGGTGGCTTCCTGATGCCATATAAGTTGTGTAAATGTTTCCCTCTGTCACCTTTGCCGATACCCATGGGATGAAAAGTTAGTGGATATTCTTACACTACTACAACACGGTAACCATATAATTATTGATACCTAAGTTACGAGTATCTCTCCTATATGATCAATTTAAGATTTTCCAAATATACTTACTTTTCGTAGTGTTTCACTGCTGGCCACATGAAGGTGTTCAATGTATGGAGAGATCTTAACTAATATCACCATATATATCATGCATATCCTATCCTGCCTATCCCGTGTTTCAAACTAATCTATATCATCCTGTGGGTGTCGTAAAAGAGACAGAGGGAAACGTTATAAATAAAATAATGTCAGTAATATGACTATCAGACTCGTTGTGAGTGTCGCTGCCTCCGATATTATATCCGACCATTCCTGCTGAATTTTATTAATAAAGAGATACAAGTGGGCAAAAAATATCAATGAAACAAATATAAACTCGATCAAGAATCAAACTAATAAATAAGATAGTCCACAGTGGTGGACAACTAAAACTACAAGGACAACTAAACAGAGAAAAATGGACATCTTTGGTGGAGTCATTCACCGAATCTGGTGTTCTTGCTAAACTGAAAGAAATAAAATAAAAGAAGAACCCTAAATAAACTAACAATAAATCTAAGTTAACTAACCAAAAAAATGCCCCACATAGTGGTGGGTAAGAATGCCCCCCTCCCTCCCGGCCCCGGCGGCCCCTACTATTTCTAGCTACAGTGGCGATCTTGTTAAAGGCAGGTCAGGGGGTGCCAAGAATCTCCGGCGGAGGTTCGGTTGCCACCAAAGACAACTCTACCTGGCAACATACAACGCACACACCCTGAGGACTGACGAGAAGATCCTGGAAGAAGAGATAAACAAGTTGCGCTGGAATATTATAGGATTATCCGAGGTCTGAAGAGAGGGGGATGGCACGGTAATCCTCAAATCCGGCAATTTGTTCTATCACCTGAAGAGTGACCAATTTTCCCAAGGAGTTGTCGGATTAATCATCCACAAGTCTCTCATTAAAAACATTGTAAAGATTGGGAGTGTGTCGATGAGAGTTGTGTACCATATACTTAGAATCAGCAAAGGGTATTTGCTGAAGGTCATACAGGTTTACGCAACAACCTCGACACATCCCGATAAGGAGGTTAAATGTGAATGACAAGCTTGTGGAAACTGTTCATGCGGTCGGAGCTAAGTTCTGCGAGACCCATCGCAGAAGACACAAAAACTCTCCGATCACACTCTTAATCGCATGGCTGTTACACAGGAGATGACGATGCAGTCTTCAGTAGATTTGACAGCATTTAGACAACTGAACAGGCAGATCCCCAAGTGTATACGGCGGAACTTTCGCAACTTTAATACAGCTCGTATTGAAGAAGCGATCGAGCACAACCAGGGCTCCAAAGTATTTGCCAGAGATCTGTCTGCCAGAAAGAACCCACTGTCGAAGTTAAAAACTGAATGTGGTGGCACAGTTACCGAGAAACTTCTGATTTTGAGCGAGATTGAGAGATTCTACGGGCTGTTGTACACGTCATTGTTGAGTAACGCAAGTGTGAGTAACGATCTAAGAGCAAGTCTTATCTGACACTATTCCAATGGTATCCCGCACGTCAGTCTGAGCGAAGTTAGAATGGCTCTCCAGCACCTTAAAAACGACAAAGGCTCAGGTGAGGAAAAAATTCAGCAGAGCTTCTGGAACCTTGTGGAAAACCGGTATTTGAAGTCCTTCAGAAGATCTTTAATTTCATCCTCCATGATGGTACTATACTTAAGGCGTGGGGCAGAATTGCGGTGGTTTTCTTATTCAAGAAAGGCGTCAACGCTCTCTTGAAGAAATACAGACCGATTTCCATTCAGAGCTGCGTCTACGTGCTGCTTTCGAGAGTCATTACGATTCGTCTCGCATGCAGGATCGACGATTTTCAGCCTCCCGATTAAGTCGGTTTTCGAAAAGGCTTCAGCACAATAGACTACATACAAATTGTACAGAAGACCGAAGAGTACAATCTGCCACCTTTTCTTACGTACATATGTGGTTTATAAGAAAGCCTTTGATTCCGTCGAAAACTGGGCGGTGTTACAGTCCCTTTAACGGTGCTTAGTTGACTGTCGATATATCTAAGCACTGAAGTGTTTGTACAGTAGGGCTACGATCGCTACAGGTACAGATCCAAAGCACGAAATCTATCCAACTGCAGAGAGGTGTTAGACAGGGTGGTTTTATATACCCGAAACTCCTCAACGCTGCATTGGTAGGTGTTTTCAAGATACTGAACTAGAAAGTATACGATATTAACAATAACGGCGAGTACATCATTCACCTTTAATGTACCGACGATATTGTCCTTATGGTGGAATTGCTGGAGGATCTTAATTCTATGCTGAATGCCCTCAATAGTATCTCCCAACAAATAGGTCTTAAGATGAACATGGAAAATACAAAAGTCGTGTGTAACGTTAATGTCACACCTATGCCGATAGTTGTTGGGAGCAGTGAGCTCGAAGTTGTTGACGAATATATCCAGCTCATACAAATAGACCGACTAAGTAAATCCAAATTTGACTTAGAGGTCAATCGATGGAATCAACGGGGCTAGGCAGCGTTCTGGAGATTACGACACATCGTCTGGTCAGGCACACCTCAAAACCTCAAAACAAGATTATTCAACCAGTGCGTGTTGCCAGTGGTGACCTGTGGATCTCAGACGTGATCCGTCACTGCTGGCCATATGAGAAAACTCAAGGTCGCTCAGCTCTGCAAGGAATAAAAGCCTTTTTATTGTATTTTTTTATTTATTTTATACATTACCTCGTCTTGCACGATAAAGCCACATACGAGAGGAGCTATTATTGAGATAATGTTCGCGAAGAAATTGGAGATCCCCATCATAGATCCGCTGAAGTTAGGTGCTAAATCAATAATGACTAACTGAAAACAATAAACAAAAAATTATTTATTAGTTGTACAAATATAATTACATATTGAGAGGCATTCTATCTTAGACTTCATAGGTGATAACGCATCTGTAGCCTTTTGAAGTTGGTTGCAGGTATCCTAGTCATATTATATTAAAGTGATATAACTTAGCTGTAACTTGATTGTAAGGATTTTTTCACTCCAATTAAAAAAAACAATATAATTAATTGGACAGGAAATGGCAACGCATTTGTATCCTTCATTGTTGAAAGTTGATGGACTCCATGGGCTACAAAAGACACTTGTTATCAAGCCGGCTGTTAGGTAGCTTATGTATGTATCCTAATGATTCTGAGAAGCTATTAAAATGCCCACTACACTACACCTGTGAAAACTAGTGAACTTCAAATATCCTAAAATATTTTTAGATTATGTCAGTTTGTGACACCTAGCACATGGTAAAGAAGCACTTAAACTGAAATTAAACTTTTGTAACATCGGCGACGATAGAACCGTTAGCCACGTTGTAGCTTTAATATAGTTGAAACACAAATGGGTCGGTTGGAACGAGATAGTTCTACATTGAATTGACTCTCACATAATATCTCATACCAAATTCTATGAGAGTTATTTCAACGTCCACTTCTTTTAATTAATCTAGGTACGAGGTTTTTATAATGCCCTTAATATACTTATTTATTTTATAATTAACCTTTTTTATAGAATTTCTCAAAAGTTTTTTTATATTTGATGTACTATATGACTTTACATAATATACTTGTATAATCGATCAATAATCAAAAGTCACATGTATTTGTCTGTCTGTCTATCTGTTTGTTCCGGCTAATCTTCAAAGTAGTTGGAGTGATTTTGACGAGATTTTCACTGGAAGATAGCTGATATTACAAGGAGTAACTAAGACTACTTTTATTTTAGAAAAATAGTTAGAGCTACGTGCAAATTAATTAAAACTCATGAAATCTAAGCGCAATAAATTTCCACGTGGACGAAGTTGCGGAGAACAGCTTGTTAAATAATATTATGAGAAGTTTTTTGTAACACCTATATTCGTAAATAAAGATTTTAATGATTGATTGATTGAAATAATTGGTCGAAAAAATTATTATACTGGTATTTACCATGTATCCAGCGTACTGTCCAGCATTTACTCCGACGCTCAATGTTAGCATGATAACAGCTAAAAGTGTGTTGCCCTCAGGGGTGTAGGACAGTCCCAATAAAGCGATGGCCGGTCCCCACAATCCTTAAACAAATTAATTATTAATGCATGCATGACGAAGCTACAATGGCTTAATGGCTATGCTTAGGCTATGTAATTAATATTGCACATGCGTATTGCACTGCAAATGTAAAAAGTCGTGGGTTGAAATCTTAAACCATTTTTAGACCAAGCATAAGTTTTGTTTAAGTGGACAAGAGTATTAGTTATGTATTTATTTATTCATGTTTTTTTTTATAGGGTAGGATGACAAACTAGCACACAGTCCACCTAATGGTAAGTGGTTGCTGTGGCTCATAGATATCTACATACATCTACCCTCGTTTGCGAATCAAATTGCAGATGCATTGTCACCCGTGAGGACTAAGATGTAATGAAGAAAACTTCTTGTAAATCGCACATTGGGGGAACGCCAATCATCTAGATTGTGTGGATAGTATCGCGAGTTTTGTCGCGATATGTGATAGTAAAATTGAGCGGCTGAAATTAGTCCGAAGAATTTCTCAGAGCACTCCCCGTGGTAAATGCGATAAAATAGTCAAAGAGATACAACATCTATATATCATTTGTCAAAATCCTATTTCGTGGATAACAGCTAACTATAAGTAATGCAAAAAAATCTTAAGGCTTCTGAAAGGTACCGGTTTAATAACCATATCATTTAAAATTCACAGACATGCGACAAGCATACTGTAGACTGTATATAAAAAAACAATGCAAATGGTTTAAGACAAATCCTCCCTACAACGAGAGAGACCTATGTTTCGCATTGGTCTTCTATGGACTGATAAAGAAGAACTCTTTTATCACTCTAAAAATATGAGAAACTAACCTATGGTATTGAAGAGTCGTCTGGTATTGCTCGTACTAATCCATCCGTGTCCAAGTATAATGTCAGTCATCATGCCCATTGGGAAGCTAAGTAAAAACATCGCTAAGTATGGAAGCGATGATAATACACCATTCTGTGGATAATATAAAAAGGTTCAATTTTAAGTAGGATTTTTTTCTGTCTAGTAGTCTATTTTTTAAGTCTATTATTTAGGCACCCCAGTGCCTGCTCCTTCACACTTGACCGCATCCAGCACAGAGCGGCTCGAATCGTCGACGATCGAGTCCTTACCGATCGGCTCGATTCACTGGCGCTGCGAAGAGATGTTGCATCCCTTTGCATTTTCTTTTGCATTTACCACGGGGAGTGCTCTGAGGAATTGTTCGGATTAATCCCAGCCGCAAATTTCATGAACGCACATCGCGACAAAACTCTCGATACTATCCACACCATCTGGATGCTTGGCGGTCCACCACTGTACGTTTCACTAGAAGTTTTCTTCCGCGTACAACATCTCTGTGGAATTGTTTACCACCGGCGATTTTTCCGGACCGATACGACTTAGGGACCATCAAGAAAAGAGCTTACTCATTTTTAAAAGGCCGGCAACGCACCTGCAATTCCCTCGGGGTTGCAGTTGTTCATGGGCGGTAGTAGTCACCATTAGATGAGCCATAATCTCGTTTGCCCCATGTACTATTAAAAAAAACCCACTCTCAGGCTTATTTCTGTCGCCAAACAGCAGTATGTAACCTGCTTTATTCAGATCTCAAAGACATAGAGAGTCAGATTAACTACAGGCTGTGAGGCATTCTGTCTTAGTCCGATGTGAAAACGCATCTGGTGGCCTTTTTGTTGTAATTTGGTGGCAGTTGTTCATAGGGGGCAGTAGCTACTTCCTATTAACTGGGTTGGTAGTTCGTCTGTAGATATTTTCTCTATTTCTAATGTCTTTTCTTCGTTAAAAGTCGATTGCTGAACATTGGCCTCTTCCCTAATGCAAAAGATTTGCCTTCGTTTGCCAAATAGATTGGCGATGACAATAATAGACGTCTCAAACCTTTGATGCCACTTTCTGTAACTGTTCTGAAAAAAATGGTATAACTCCTATCTTTAAAAATAATAAATAAATAAAGTTTATACGTACGTTTTTCAAATTAACTCCCAATACTTTCGCCATATAAGTGGGCATTTCTGTCATAAGTGTAAAGAATCCCCAGTTTTGTCCACAATGAGAGATAACAGCGGCCCATAGTGGCAAGCACGTGACTATTTTTGACCATGGAGCAGGTTGACACTAAAAGAAAATGAATTCTTGTAGATTCTTGATGATTTATAGTAGATATTGTATACTCACTACAACGTATTTATGTTAACTGGAAATGTAAAAGTAGAAGGCGCTGAAGTTGCTAAAACGTCAAACTTATTCGTACCGAAATTACAATACTGATGCAGCGTGACACGTATCACTTATCAAATAGGTATATATCGAATAAGAAAAAAGTACTAAAAGTTTACGTCGAGTAATATACAGTATTAAGGAAAAAACTTTTCGAGATCCGCTTAATCTGGCTTTAGTACGTACACCAAGACACACCAAGGCTCGTGTAATTGGGAAACTCATGAATTAGATTATAACTCCGTGCACAAAGCAAATGGGACATTTTCCGTCTTATTTCTGCAGGTTTATTATGACCTTACCTTTTGATTATCAACTCTTCCTAGAGACCTTTGAATGTATTTTAACTCTTCATTCGAAATTATTTCCGATTGTTCCGGTGATGCAGAACCAAGCAAAACATATGCCACTGTCCAACTGAGTCCAAGAACTGCATTAGTATAAAAAATCGCCTGCCAACCCCAAGCAGCAGCTATGAAGCCTGATATAATTAGTTGGAAAGCTATTCCGAGTTGAGCCCCTGAAAATAATTTTCAATATAATTAATAGAATCAGGCGTTACTTTGCGGAAATCCATTATATAAATCTTTTAGAAAAACTTACTTCGCAAATATCCGCGTTATAAAATAAAATGATGTGTCGGAGGGCGGGAGGTGCTCTTCATACTAGGTAAGACACATCATTTTATTTTATAACGCGGATATTTGCGAAGTAAGTTTTTCTAAAAGATTTCAATAATTTTCAACTTCAATAAATGATTCAGATTCAGATTTCATTCAACGTAATTTCGTTATTTTATCATGGGCAGGCAAACTAACAACATATTAATTTTTGAAACTGTGTCAAATAAAACATAGACTGTGTTTGGAGTTTTTCTGCGTAATACTCGTAGGTTCCGTAATGAGTATTACCATAGTAGAATCAGCAAATCCGACAAAGTTCAACGGATTTTGCTCAAATAATCGAAACCCATTGGAGAAGAAAGGTTCTTAAGTGGCAGCCCAGTACCGGTAAGCGAAGGGTAGGGTAGCCCCCCACTATTTAAAATGGACGCCTGGTATAACAAGCAGAAAGTTGATGGATGCAGTGGCGCAAGACCGCGTTTTGTATTTGTAGTATTCCTTATCGAGCGCTTTTGTTGTGATGAGACGTAGTACCGCGTAGTGCCATTTGGTGATAGCGTTAGAGACACTCAATGTTAATCCATGGGTATAGTAATATAGATGACTATAGGAGAGTTTAGAAAGACCTCTTGACCTGCGATAAATAGCTGGATTTTTTCATCTCTCATCCCAAATTTATAAATAAGTAATATCCGAACATTAACCTATTTTTTTCTTATATAGCACCTAAGGAGACTGAGGAAAATAAAGTAGGAGACGGGCAGCAGCGTCTCTCTAATGACAACTAAAAAATTAAACAGGCGCCTGCCAAGGGTGGCAACTATGGCGAATTTCCACGTTTTGAGGTACTCTTTGGGGGGGCCTATATTCAACAGTGGACTTTTGATAGTCTATAGTGGTTCTAAGTGTGGCATAAATGCGGCAAATGCCAAAAAGATCATATGCCTTCTGATAGATGACAATACTATAATTTTTCTTTTTATCCACATCAATACGCATCCTAGAGCAAAACTACAACGAAAAACCAGGGGCAGAGAGTGGTGTGAAGGTTAAAAGACACTGTGGCTGTCAATACGTCAGTCAAAATGTTATTACAGCTTAAATTATTCAGAATCTATATTAATTAATAGAATCAGGTGTTACTTTTCGAAAAGCCATTTTATTTAAATTGGAAAATTTTACTTTGCCAATATCCGCGATATGAGCGAATATTGACAAAGTAAATTATTCCAACTTTAATGAATCTTTATTGTTGCAATACCTGCATAAATTATTGTAGCTAGTAGTCCATTCTCTTCTAACGGGATCCACTGACTTACAAGATGATGCATAGTGGGATACACGAAACCCTGAGTCAAGCCTTGAAGCACTCGACACGCGCATACTAATTGCCATCCACCCTGTAACGAACACAAAGCTTGGTATTAAATATGGTTTCATAATAAGTTAGTCGTAAATCTGGGTCACTTTTTCCAGTCTACATTTTTGACATCATTCCCTATTCAGCATGAGGCGTCTCAAAGCACTAATCTATTCAAAACAGTGAGATCCATAAATAAATTAAAAACCGACGTGGCTTAGACACCTCAACAGAGCCTACTCTTTTCTCGGACTTAGTCGGATACAAGTAGGTATGAGAGGCCTGTGTTATCTAAAAACAAATATTTAGGAACGATAACTCATGAGCCAAATTTTGGAGTGAGGTTTTGAAGCAAGGAAGTGTCTGCTGCGCGGCCCCGATGCGTGTTGTCGGACTTCACACATTCTTTATACTAAGTGGTAGAATTCTTTTTCCGCATAGTAGTCTGTGTGGGTAGGTACCCCCCCCCCCCCCCTTTCCTATTTCTGCCGCCAAATGACAGTCACTGCTGTATTCTGGTTCGAAACGTACAGAACTTGGCTGCAGATGTCCATCAACTACAGTTATGTATCCAAAAAAAAAACGAGGACAAAAGCATTTACTGCATACGTTGCGATTTTTTCTTTTGAACTCAAATAACAGCAAATTATCTTCAGCAAAAAAAATAATGCAACACATTAATACATGGATTAAACCATAAACGTACACCAGTACGAGAATTAAAGTATTATGCTGCATAAAGTCAGAAGCCTAGAGAAATCACAGAAATCCCTATGATATCAAGAAAACCTTCTCAAGACTGCATAAGGGTGTTACCACACCAAGCGATCGATGGTGGAATGAATTAATCAACTTCGATCGAACTGCTTGATTATTCGGGGGCTCTCCCCGCTTCTCCAACCGCATTTTGAAAGATACTAATGATGAGTCTACAACTACATCTATTAATAGTCGATCGACGTCGATCATTAGAATTAAAATTAAAGATACCACACCAATCGATCAACATCGATCTACCGCAATCAATGGCATCGATCGGAGATCGATCGATTGGTATGTAACGCCCTAATGATAATAAATTCGAATAGATTTCCCTTCTTACTTTAATTCAGCATTAACTTATTAACCTTCTTTATACTTACATGTTTAGCTGCAAGAGGCATGAGGAGTGATAACAGGGAATTAACTGATACAGCTATGGTCATCAGAATTTTTCCACCTACATGTCTCGCAAGCTCCCCAGCCGGCAATTGAAGTATTATGTATCCCCAGAAAAACGAGGACAAAATCATTGATTGCACACTATGCGACCAATCGAAGTGCTGAAAATTTGTAAGAGTGAAAATTATAATTTTAATTCTTGTAACTTTTGCACACATAGATAGCTTAATTTCTAGTAATTTAGAGATGGCTGTATCTTGCTATATAATATGCCACTATAGCCACAATACTAGAAGTTTCACCTTAGTGAATTTAAGGCCCAAGATATTATGAACTATCTCCACTATTACTTCGTACATTTGTTGTTTATTAAATAATATATTATGCCCCCAACATGACTAACACAAAACTTGGGCCTGAGCCGATTCATCATGTTCGTCGTCGTTATTATAGTCTACTGCTGAAGAAAGGTAAAGTCAAGACAAGGCAACCGAAAATATTTGTTGCATTGTCAAGGGTGGTAACATTCAACATATTGAAATTACAAGGATAAACATTTCTTATAACACTACCGTAGTACACAAAAATTGACCAATTTATGGCCTGTCATCGTGTGGTATTTATTGGTATAAAAGTGTCCTCTAACCTAACTTGTCACATGGCTTTCGTAAGAGGCGACTAAGGAAATTAGCAAAAAGATGTTTTTACGGAGGAGGAAATTATTATTATATGGCGGTTTAGGTACTTTTTTTACACCAGAAATCCGACCCGACCGATCCATCCGGCACGACCGACCCGACACAAAAAAAGTGAGACGTCCGGTACTGTGACCGCAATTCAACTGTCAAGCAAATCTCCCTTCAACGAGCGAAACCCATATTTAGTTGTATTTTGATAAATTATTACGATTAATATTATGATCGTTTAGTGGCGGTGTAAGAATATCCCCTACCCCCTTTTCTACCCGTGATTGGCATAAGATACGACAGAGGGAGACACAAGCCAAGAGATGGGCAGCAGCGTATTCCTAATACCAACTAAAAATAAACGAAAACTGCGGCTTTCAAGCGGCTTGCCAAGTGCGTGTATAACTATAGGTTATTTTTGATAGGCTATAATCGCTAACATGGGGTTTCTAAATGTTTTCATACTTAATTGTGTTAAATATTATGTTGTGAATTATTTTAAGAAGTGCTAAAATTAAAAATTTTCTACAGCCGACTTCAGTATAAATTAAATGAGAACATCATTAATGAAGTCGAAGTCAATTAAATACGCATTATGAAGGATAACTCGAAAACTACTGGTCAGATCTTGATCAAATTTAGAAGTACCAGCTTTCAAATAAAAAAGTATCATCAATATAAATTCAACCCGAAAAAGGTTCTAATGAAACAAACATAAAAACAGTCTAATTAGGTACCTGACCCTTTTTTTGAAGTCGGTTAAAAAACCACCAGTGGGTTTCTTGCTGGAACTAGAGTTATAGAGTTAAAGCTTAAATTACTAACAATATGTATAATTGTAATCTATGTTGTGTAAAATTATTTTATTCTTTAAAAATGTATAATATGAGTAAAGATGGAAAGTTTTTCATATTAAAATGTTTCCTATTAATGTCATCAAGAACTAATTGTGACATAATATTATGTTGTGCCAGTGATGACCAGTTTGTTAATAAACAAGATTTTAATTACAGTGTTTACTCTTTTATCAGAATTCAGTGACTCGATGCTACTCGAAACGATATCTGTGTTATTCATTAAAACTCAAGACCAACAAACAAAAATACATGTCTTAAAAAAAATTACAAATGCTATGATTTCCCAAGAAATACGCCTACTTAATCGTAAAAAAATTCAAGAGAGCTGAAATGAGGTACAGAACAATGTTATCGGCTCAATCGGAGAAGCATCATTCACATTTAGCCAAGAATAGATGCAGGTGTATAAAAGTAGCACATGATAAGTCAGTACTTGAAATTGCAATTAACAATTTTATTGATACCGATTGGAATCAGACTCACGTTGCTCGTACTGTGAAATTAACAGCGAGGTCTTGTCTTCAGCTACTACGGGAATTGGACTCTTTGATAAGGTCATTGTTTATTGTTATTGATATTTTTATTGTTTAAGGAATTTAGAAATGAACTGAGAATATAATATAGAGACACTGTGCCATTGATTACCAAAACGAATATGGGTCGATATAACTGAAAACCAGTCAAAATTGGCCACCAATTATTGTGTGACAATGGTCCTTTTGCTGTCAAACCTGCAAATGCAACATACTAAAACTACCTTTTAAATGAAAATTATTTTACCGACTTTACCGCATTTAATTTTAACTTATTAATTTCCGACAAGTTGCCATTACATCAGAATTAATATAACCGAAATTGTCGCAAAAGTACACCGATTCCTACCTAAGATGATTTTCGAGGCTATTGAAATTAAAAACAAAAACATCCTTGTTTCAATACAGAACATGGATGGGTGATACCATCTGCTTGGCATAACTATATAATTAATAAAATTAAATCAAAACCCAAGTTTACCACTGCAAGTCTTCAAAATACTCTAAGCCCGTTCTGCGTTGATCATACCAATATATATTAAAACAACATAAATTAATATTCAAAAACTGAAGGTAGCCGAGCCAACTATGACATCGGGATGTCAAACCTCAGTCCCCTCCGTGACCATGGGTGCTCTAAAGCACCCGCAAATTCGGAAATCGTAAAGTTAAAATTAAACGTGATAAAATCCCTAAAATTAGTTCTTTTAATGTGTAGTATTCGCGTAAATATATGAAATCATTCCTACCTCTTCTCTTTCAGGATTCGTCATATCTACTATCGCCATGCTCATATTGACACGCATAGAAAATGCGAACAGCATTGCCAGGAACAGAAGAAACGTCTGAGCATGTCGCACTCCGAGACCCTCTGAAATCAGTATATTAAATTTTCAGTATAATGCTGACTCCTTGGCCTTTTCTCTTTTTTTTACTGAACAAAGGTGACCAACGAGCACACAGGCCACTTAATCGTAAGTGGATTCTGTGGCCCATAAACATCTACCTCTATCCTCGGTTGAGAATAAAAATGCAGTACCTCGTTTCCATCTTAGTCTTCAGGGGTGACAACTCATATGTATATTATAATAATAATATGAAAACATCAGCATATTTTAAGCTCGTATTCTGTGGAAGCGTGGTCCTTCCCAGTTCAAGTCTTTCATTCGTGCTTCAACCATAATATAGCTGCAGCATGTTTCTACTACAGCTTCTAATAAAAAGGGTCTCCAGATTTGTTTACACTCATCATACGAAACACGGCAGCATTAAGATGTTACTTAACGCAGGTGATCTGTCAGAGCGTGTTCCTTACCCGGTCGATTCATTCGTGTTAAACGTTGGTTTTAACACGTAAATAAAATAATTGTCGCAATCCAATAAAATATGTGTTTTATATTAAAGTTTTCGTATATTTTATTACGTAATACTAGCAACCTGGCAAGTTTCTGAAGCAGATGAAAGAGTTGTGGAAATATCGTTTTAAATTTGGAAGAATTTGGTATATTGTTTAATTACAAATAATGACACACTTAAAGTGAAAGATTAACTTTCAAATCAATTTGTCGGTACGCTGCGCTAAGTTAATTGTACCTTCGCGAAAATGCAAGCAATCATTTATTTATTTATTTAGGCTTACCAACTAAACACATACACATTATTAATAAACATTTGTAGTTATTAACAAAACTGTGTTGTATATGTTTTAACTTAAAGTATGCACAACATTTCAACATGAAACATAAAATTAGTTTTGAAATTAACAGATAATATAATATGATATATAAACACAAAGATACTATTCTATGCAAGACAGGTAATACTCTAATTTGTTAGAGAGCTTAACATTTTATAATTTATAGCTTTTTTGTTCAGTTTGAGTGTAGTGTTGAAATATTTTCTTTTTTAAGGAACCCAGACTATTACTAAAGATATCTAAATTATATTTACCCAATATATTATTGTATTTCCTCATCATAGAACATAGAGGAGAGTTGTTACCATAATTTTTGCTGTTGAAATTTACACTAAAGAGACTAAAATTACACAACCTTGCTGAAACTCTGGGCACTTGCAACTTAATTTGTAATAGGAGGGATGGACAATCCATTTTATTATTAAGTAGTTTATTTAAGAAACCTATAGACAGCAGATTTTTTCGCTGCTCCAAAATTAAAAAAATTTAAATGCACTGCTGTTTTCTACAGGGTATGGGTAGCCAGTAAAATTACACGTTGTGAGACGTTCCATCTTGGTGCTTTGGGTGATAACACATATGCAGCCTTATTATCTCATTTTTAAATCAGGTGACTTAAGTTTTATTTGTTTACTAATTTTGTTATACAAAAGACTAAGATAGACAAAGCATAATAAAAACAGAAATTCTACAATTTAGAATCATAGTTCGAAATATGTGCATATGAAAGCAATATAATGAAAAATAAGTTTTATATTGTTCTTAAAATACTCCACGATTGAAAAGCGATAATTTTGATTTATTTGTTACTAAACAAAAAATTTAAATAATTAATAGAATAAGTCATTACTTTGCGGAAATCCATATACTCGTATTAAAGATGTTAATAGCGTGTTTCGCCTCTAACGATGCATTATCAGGTGAAGTAAACTCTGCGGTGGCTGACCGCTAAGTGGCACGGCTTTTTTATATTACTGAGATGACGAACGAACTGATGGTAAGTGGTTACTACAGTCCATGGACACCTGTAACCATGATGACACTTACAACAAATATGTATACAAAGACAAAGATAAAATGCCTTACATCCTGTAATTGTACTGACTGACTCTCTTTACCTAACAGGCCGGAAACCAGGAGCGAGTGCAAGCACTGCTATTTGGCGGCAGAAATGAAAAAAAAGGAAAGCTTATCCTATCCAAACTGACTATTAGGCAGAGAAGGAGTTAATTGCCAAGTTTTTTAATTTTACTCGCCATGTTTTTAAGCGCTAAGCCGCAAGTGGGTTGTAGACCACACATACAGATATTATGTTTTTAATGGAATTCATGGAAGTATTTTTAATAATTTCTACGCTTAGCGGGCGCATTCGCAATCACAGTACCAGATGCTTGTTTCGCTTTGTTCTTGGCATCTAGCATAATCGAGATTTACTGTCTCTTTCCCTATAAGGTTTGTATGGTGTTTCCCATAGTTGACAGCACCCACAAAACGAATTTCGTTGACGAATTCTCTGTAAGACGCTAGCGAATTTATACAAACCGAATGTATAACTACACCCTTGCTATGCAAAACAAAAAGTTAACAGGAAAATTGATCAAAATATTTCACATCTTATATTTTGTAAGGTTATTTGTGTAAATATAAAAACAGTTGGGTTGATAACCTCTTTTATGAACTCTGTTAAAAACACTCAATTAATTTACAGGTTTAGTCTTTTTAACGACAAAATAATCTTTATATATAAAATTCTTCTGTACGTGCGTCTGTCACTAAACTTCTTATAAACAGTTGGATGGATTTTGATCATTTTTTTGTCTGTGTATAGTTGGTCTCTGGATGGTTTAGATGTACAATTAGACCGTGTTTTTGTCCAAAGATCACCCGTGAGTTACCGGTTCGGATCGCTAGTATAACTAAAATTGAGGCTTCCTAGCGGTTCGTGAAGTAAACTTTTTCTTGTAACGCTAACGGTCTGTAATTCCCATATTACTGACAAGTGGCGGTGGCGTTAGAAAATGTGGTGCGGACATTTCGCCCCTTGGATGTCATAAGAGGCAAATATAGGAAATGCTAGGAAATTATTATGGCCCCCGCAAAATGGTGGTATAACCTCGTTATACCGTTACGGCTACAGCCGACCAAAACTACACTACTAAAGTACATAGACCTCTCAAATATATTGCCTCATAAGAGATATTTGCCATAGTTGCCAGGCTTTGCAGGCGGGTTGGCAACCGCAGTACCCTCTGACGGCTTTTACGATACCTACGGGATGATATGGAGTAATTGGTAATCTCTTACGCCTCCAGGCCTCGGTGTTGGAGAGGACTCTTCACTGCATAATGGCGGCATAGGAAAATCCACTAAAGTTGTGTGTGGATAGCCATCGCAGAGTTCGTTTTTACCGGAAACAAGGCATCATCTTAATCCTCAGGGATGACAACGCATCTGTATTTTGATTCTGAGTTGATGATAGATGTTTGGCACACTTCGGGCACAGTATCCACTTACCATCAGGTGGACTGGACGCTCGTTTATCAGCTTTATTCTATAGAAAAAAGTATTGTTATTTTCTTATAGTAAGTACGAAACGGATCACTTGAATGTAATGTTATCATCATTATAATCTAACACAAGTCTAGTAATGCACATTAGGCAATTAATGCACATACCCTCATTAATTCTACATGGTCTTGTGCGACCTACATGCATAGAATGCCTGCATCTCTTATCAAATTGTCACTCCATCTAGTGGAGGACCACCCTATACTTCGTGCCACTACAGAACCGTTCCTCCCTAGCATTTGCCGGTTCTTTTAACTATTTTGTCAATTCATTGCCACTTCAGTTTACTGATCCGTTGTAAGTTGTATGTAATGTCATGAATATTACAATATAAGCAAAAAGTGTAACCTTGCTTGATACTTATGTGTTGGACACGTTTGTATATTGTGTTTACGAGTCAGAGTCACATCGCAATTTTACGTGGTAGAGTCATCCTGCAGCTATATTATGGTAATAGTACAAATGCGTCGACTTAAGAGGGGAAGAACCACGTTATCACAGAATACCTGCGTGAATTAACAGCTTAGTAGTCCTCAGGGGTGACAACGCATGTGCATTTTGATTCTTATACGAGAATAGATGTAGATGGGCTGGGCAAGCACATTCCATCAGGTGGACTGTGTACATTATTTTCAACCTATTCTATATTTTTTTAGTTACAATATTGTTTATAAAAAACTAGCTGATACAAGGCACCTTACTACCACAGAAGAAATAATTGTGGAAATATCGTTTTAAATTTAGAACAGTTATATTTTTATAATTAGTAATGATAATACATTCATTGAAATTGATTATTATATTATAAATTTCAAGTAAATTTGTAGGTACGATACGCGCGTCACCTACTGTTAGAGAATTTCAGTATGCCTATGACCATCAGGTGCAAGCAATAATTTGACAAAGTTTTACCGCAATCTGATAAACGGTATAATATTTTATTTTTATATAGGCGAAATGTAGGGAATCCTCCACTAGGTGGAGTGAGTACCTAGTAAGACGTGCATGAGGACCTAGTAAGATCGTGCTTTGTGCCATTTCTTAGGGGAGCCTTATGTTCAGCAGTGGATTTGTGAAGGGCTGTAATGATGATAATTATGATGATATAAAATGATTGGCACGCAACTCTCAATAAATAAACAATATCATATTATTTAATTACCAAATAGGTACCATTTTTATAATTTTTTTTAAATGTACTATACGGTTACCAAATGTATTATTGTATTAAAATTATTAATTTTATCTTTTAAAATTATTATGTATTAATTCGGTATTATTTAAATTTCTCGTGTAGGTGATTATATTTTTATGCGAAATGAATTATTTCAAATCTCATATTATTTCAATTATGTATGTGCAGTAATTTTCTAATAAATAAAATAAGAAATGTTATGGATTTATTAATTAATTGTTCTATAATAATGAAGCCTATGCAATAAAAAAATGTGATCATAAATGTGTCAATATATGAACAAAATATAAAAATACATGTATTCAGCACACAGAAAATTACTGCATTAATTAAAATTAAAATTAATAATTTATTATTATTTAGCTACAAACTAATTATGATTAAATAAAATTTCAGTTGAAAGAACTTAAATGTACATGTTTTAAGAGTGATAAACGAACATATTAGAGTACCTACACCTGAAAATAAATGGATGCTGTGTCCCATACGAGTATACAGATGTATATGGGCTACAGTTTGCATTTTGAATCTTAATCGATGGCAGATGCTAGATACATCTATCATCGATAAAGTTTCAAAATGCAGACGCATTATCACGCCTGAGTACTTAAGTGGAATACCTCGTTTCCAGTAAAAAAACTTGTGTCTGGTTCTCTACGTTCACCATACAAAACACAGCAACATTTAGCTGCTGTTTCACGCTTCCTCGTACTTCCTCGGTAGAGCCGAACCATTCCTGCTACAAACATAATATAGATGCAACGTGGCTCTACCTCATAGGATAACGAAGTTATTGTATTCGTTTCTTATTACGTCTGCAATTTTCATATTTTCGGAGAAGTGAATGAAAACTAGGTTAAAAATTCCATAAATTAAAATGGTTGTATTATTTGCATTTAAACATGCAGATGATATAACAAAAATGGGATTAAAATTTCACTATTAAAAGTTATAATTAACTTACTCGGTCTAACGTTTTCGATTTTCTCATTACCCATTTTAAGGATGTAAACAAATGTTTAAAATTATTTAATTTTAAGCACTGTCATACTATCGCGGTTTTAGTTAATATCGCACTGTCACATGCTGCTTTTAAGAATGTCAATGTACTACTGCTAATTGATCTTACTGCATAGTTATCAAGTGATAACAATACAGTCCATAGAGTCGCCTTTAATTTTTTTTTTCTTATATACGAAAATTTCATTTTCACTTTAAAGTGACTGACGATCTGACAGTCCAACTGCAAGTATTTATGAATGGTTCATAAATAATTTAGAGAATTATTATAATAAAAGACCAAACTAAGAGTATTTTTAATTGTCGAACATGTATTTTTTTTAAAGGATAGAGTGACAAACGAATACACAGTCCACCTGTTGGTAAGTGGCCTATATCTATCCTCGTTTGCGAATCAAAATGCAGATGCGTTGTCACTCGTGAAGACTAAGAAGGAGTGCCTCTTTTTTAGTAAAAAAGGTAACCAGTTCTCTACACTCACCACACGAAACACATCAGCTTTAAGCTGCTATTTTACGCTGGTATTCTGTGAAAGCGCGATCCTTCCCCGGTCGAGCCAAATCATTTCTGCTACAACTATACTACTAATATAGCTGCAGCATGGCTCTACCACGTAAATAACATGCATTAGAGGAGGGACAGATGTGCGCTCGTTTGTCACCCTTATCCTGTAAAACAAAAAAAACCGTGCCACATGAAAGTCCGTGGTCTCTGCCCTTGCCTCTGGATAACAAGCGTGAGAGTTTACTTATAGTATGATATGATATCTCTAAGTGCTCAGTTAAATGACCTCGTAGCCTGTTTCTTTTAAAAACAAGAGTAAGACACAGTCCATCTCATAGTAAATGGATAACGTAGCCCATTTCAAAGCTGTCCTCGATAAGGAATTAGAACGCAGGATTTGTCTTTTCTGAAGAATAAGGTGAAATGCCTCGTTACCAGTAATAAAAATCTCCGATTCTTGGCTTCCACCATATATATAATACATAGCACAGTAGCAGTATGTCACTATAAGTAATAATATTTATTCCCGAGCGAATAATTTACGCTACGAAAAATAGCAGTTTAACACTGCTGTGTTTCGTATGGTGAGTGTAGAGAACCGGAGACCCTTTATACTGGAAAAGAGGCATTCCAACTTAGTTCTCACGGATGACAACGCATCTGCAACTTGAGTCTTTATTGAGGATAGGATGTATATGGGTCATAGTAACCACTTACCATCAGGTGGACTGTGTGCTCGTTTGTCACCCTATCCTTAAAATAAAGAAAAAAATTCGCTTACGGCAGCCAGTCTTCAACGAATACTACCCATCAGCGCAGGATAGTGCTGATAGGTGCACTCTCTATTCCGTTACTCTCATAGTTCGAAGGGACGGTAATTCGACACGACGGAAAAGAGATCAGGTGCAGAACTAATGGCTTAACGTGCTTTCCAAGGCAAGGTGGTGAATGGAACACCATCAATTTCTTGACAGAAAACCCAATAACTGATTTTGGTCGGACCCGGGATTCGAACTCGGGACCTCATGATCAGCAACTGTGTGTTTACAACTACTAGACTGTAGGGTTTAACTACACTTTTATTATATAAAATGATTATTTAATATGATATTGATAATGATAGATAAAATGATAAGGACTGCTTGAAGTGCACTGCTCGCCGAGTACAGGGCGTTAAAGTGCTGTGTTATTAAGAGTGCTAAGTTAACAAATTAAATACATTTAGGTAATTGTAAAATATGTACGTTTCACCGTACATAGACTAACAGGGCAGTCATGTAAATGTCTCTTTTAATTACTGTACAACCAATAAATTTATAGTGACATACATCTTGGATGATTAACATATCAATGACTTCTTACAAATAAAATTTAAAACAATTATATTCAAACAAGCTGCAGCCCAGTTTTGTGATGTAAAGTAAATGCAGATAACCATTTCAGCATATTGAAATTCCAATGCTGAACACACAGGGCTCCCGCATAGATTGCCTAATAGAGGGGTGTATTTGCCATAGTTGCCACACTTGACAGGCCGGTTGGCAACAGCAGATTTTTATTTTTAAGCTGGTGTTAGGAAGACGCTGCTGCCCAACTCCTCGTATGTTTCCATCTGACGCCTCATACGACACAAACGGGATGATGTGGGGTAGCGTATATTCTTACACCGCCACTACACTGTCATGTAATCAAGTACTGACTTTTAATTAGAAGACTTAAATTACGTAGACCAGCGACGGGCAACAGCGTCAATGATGCATACGTCTAGCACTGCCATCGTTAATACGCCCGCCAAGCGATCGCAGTGCTAAACGTGTTATACGTGGTAGGGCATCGCTGCAGCTATATTAGTTGTAGCATAAACAGGTCAGCTCGGCACTCTACATACACTCTCAGAATACCAGCGTACAATAAGAGCTGATATATAGAGTGAATGTAGAGACCCGGTGACCTATTTTCTACCGACTTCAAAAAGGAGCCGGTAGTCAATACGATTGTATGTTTTTTTTATGTGTGCTACCTCATAACTTCTTACTGGGTGAACCAATTTCGATGATTCTTTTTTTAATTGAAAGCTAGTGCTACTCTTGCATTTGCGTATAAATTTGATTAAGGTCTGACCAATAGTTTTTGAGTTATTCTTAATAATTTACATTGAAGTCGGATGTATAAAATTTTAAATTTTAAATTATACTGCATAACGTTTTTATATCTTTGATTCTTAATTGCGAATCAGTTTAGATGTCAAGGGGCCATAGGTGGACTGTCTGCTGTGAAATAAACCAGACAATGGGCAACAAAGTCTTTCTAATAACAACTAAAAAAAACTATGGTTGACAACCCACTAACCAAGCGTATCGACTATGGTACATATCCCACCTATTAGGCACTTTACGGGGAGGTCTATGTTCAGCATTTGACTTTGATATGCTGTATCAATCACATTCTTTCCCATTGTGACATATAATATGTAACAAAAACCCGGTGCGGTGACCCGGCATTTGAAAGTGAAATTTTGATTTTGGTCGTTATTAAATGGCTTTCAGTGTTCATAATTGGTAACATAATAAATTAAATCTTGTGAAAAAATGTTATTAATGTCTGAACTAACTGACACGCGCATCGATATAGCGGGATCTTTGGCAATACTCTTACACAGCCAATGCAGAGGTACAAAACCCACATACAATTTGCAAAAAAAAAATTTAAATATCATTTCATTTTGTTATGGTCGAATTTTGTGAAGTATACTTATTTCTATACGTATGAATACTGATTTTGATGATGCACTTAACAGGAACTGCATAATTTTTGTAACAAATTGTATAAATGAAACGTAACATATGAGTACTCCGTAGATAGCTTTGTTAAAACGAGCTCAAGTATTTTACAAGTACTGAGATAAGATTGAAGCGCGTTAAATTAGCGCGCCATACATTACAATAAACTTGGTAATTTAGGGTTATCTAAAGTCAAGTTCACCGAAATCATAGTTTATTTATGCTCTCAAAATTATCTCGGATAAACTATAATAACTCACAATAAGAGTTACTCTATTAACATACAAAAATAAACTCTCAGTAATCCAAATAAGCTTTAAAATTTCTCCACTGTGTGTTTGACCCCGAATTATATTTATAAAATGTTAAATAACCTTTTTTTTTCAATCGGTATATAACATGACTTTTGTTGCTTGTTGTTGCTTATTTGGTGCTTTATTTTGTTTTACTAGATGATTCGTTAAAAATATAAATCGGGATATATGCAGTCATCTTACTTGAAATGTGTGTATGGGAAGCGACAGAAAAAAAATGTTTCCTTTGCCTCAGAGGATCTAGTGTTGGTAGGTGTTATTTAGATTTACAATAATCGTATATTTCTATAAACTGAGAGAATTTATTACGAGGCATTCAATCTTTGTGTTCAGGGGTGGCAACGCCCCTGTATTTTGAGTCTTAATCAATGACAGCACTCACTTACTACCAGGTGAACTGTGCACTCGTTAGTCACCCTTATTCTATAAAAATAAATGATATGTGTAATTTTGGTATTTGCATATATTCATTTTCATAGCTGTCACAAAATTATTTTTTAATTAAAAAATAAGACTGTTTTCCATTTCCATTCCATTCAATTTTTAAACGCTTACAAATTAAAATTTTCAAAAGATGTGTTTCTTTTGACTAGGGAACTATGGAGCAAATAAAACCACGATCTGATGGAGGTAGACTGTATTTACCATTAGATATGTATTTATACAAAATATTATATAAAAATATCTATATTTTAGATATTTTTTTTATTATTTATTCATAAAATGATAGATAATCTAGTACACCATTCTTGTCTTAATGAATTAATTGACTATTCGATTGTTTACAACGCTATTTTCATTGAACTGAAACTGCGCGTTACATGCTTCGTCTTGCGCATGTTACATTCATGACCTTGGCGATAGCGGAAATTTAATTAAAATAAATTAATTTTATTCAGCACAAGGTTCGTTCCAATATTGTCTTTCGCTGTTTCCAAAAATGACGTAGAATATATTTGTTACAATATACACAGCAGCTGACATATAAAACACAATTCGCCATTCCTTTATATCGGTCTGCAATCAAATAGAAATAAATAATTAGTATAATAAAATATATACATATAGAATATATTTAAATAAGGCCTACATCCTGTAATTATACTAGCTCTCTTTAGAGGAAATCGGCAGAAATAGTGGTTTTTCTACCGACTTCAAAAAGGAGACGGTAGTCAATTCGAATATATCTTTTATATGTGTTATCTCGTAACTTTTTTCTGGGTAAATTGATTTTGATGATTCTTTTTTTATTTGAAAGCTGGTACTTTTTATGTGGTCATATATAAACTTGATCAAGGTCTGACGAATAGTTTTTAAGTTATTCATAATAATTTATATTGAATTTGGTTGAACAAAATTTTTAATTTTAAAATATATATTCCTCAGTCCTTTAAAAAAGGTAAAAAAGTGAAATTTTTCATGAAATATAAAAGCCAACTTTAAGGAACTATGAAGGATAAAATAATTTTCAAGTGAAAACGAGTGCCACCACAACACCCTACAAATTATCACTGAGGCGAAATCTTTATCGACATCACACAATTGCTTGGTGATATATCTCTATATATGTATAAAAATAAATTGATTAGTTAGTCTCGCTAAAACTCTAAAATCGCTCAATCAATTGTGATGAATTTTTTTAGCGTGTTTGAGTGGATCCCTGAATGGTTTAGATTCACAATTGGACTCGCTAGGTGGCGTTATTATCGAGACCCAGAAATCACCCTTGCGAAGCCTGGGCGGATAGCTAGTTTCTAGTTTCTAATAATGTACGAACTACGATGTTTATCAATGCGTGTATTTGTCAAATAAATATTTGTTTCTTTCATCCTTCATTAATAGCTTCTGAAGTTTTTTTTCCTTAATTCATCAATTCCATGCATGTCTTATTAATATTATTTGTAATTTAAACTTTTTATGAAATACTTAAATTTTAAGTCTATATTCAGAATCGATTTATGATATTTAAGTTATAATGTGCGTTTACGGTGTAAAACTTACTTCATCAGATAATATGACACCTATCACCAAGGGTGACAAAATAGCCATTGAGTTTGCGATAGTATTCGATATCCCCATCAATGTTCCGGCGAAGTTTGGAGCCATATCCAACGAGCCTAGCTGTGGAAAGTAAATCAAACAATATCAATTAATTAATCTTCATCGCTCCATAAAATTTCCTTGCTAAAAATGGGCCTCTCTATTTGTAGATAAGATTTGTCATGCTCGGTTTCTATATTCAAAAACGCTTCGTTTTCTTTTACGAGCCGTTTTATAGGGATTGAAGTGCATTAAGACCCCTATAAAATAAAATATCAGTTCAACTATTTATGAATCGTTTAAAGTTTTTTTTTTCTTCTTTTTATGTCATCCTATGTTGCTGAATGAATATTTTGCAATTATTTTTACATGCACCTCTTATGTCAAATAATGGATCGTCAGCAAGAACGAAAACTTTCTTAATTATAGGAATCGGGCATTAATCGTCATGCTTGGAAGAAAAATGGACTATCACATTACTGAAGGTGCGAGATGTCATCTGTTAAACCTAGAAATAGGTAGAAACTTTGTGGCTGTTGTCCGTTTAGGTATTTGACGTCCGACATATATAAGATGTGTAATGGTTGTGTTAGTATATCCACAACCAAATATCGCCCTGTCTATTTATTGTTAGAGGCAAAAGTGTGGAATAAACTAGAAGACGATCAGTGTATTCCTAATAAGATTTAAAAATTAAAAACTTTGTTGACCCACCTGCCAAGCGTGTCAACTATGACAAATATCTTCTCTGTGGGTCAATCTATGGAGAAAAACTTTATTTAGCTGTGGACCTTGATATATTATATATAACATCTCCACGATACTAGAGATCTTGGTATCAGGTTAATATTGCTCTAGTTTTAGGGAAATTGGTAATAAAAAGCTAGTGTCTAAGATATTATTTATAATTTTTAAGGTGCTATTTTTTCTAAATTTATTTAAAATTATTAATAAAACAAATGAAGCATATTAAAAAATACTTGCCATATATCCACTGTAAAATGCAGCATTAATTCCAACAGCAAGAGTGAGAAGGATGATCGCCAAGGTAACATTACCTGCTGGTACATGGGCTAGGGCAATTAATATAACCGCAGGACCGAAGTATCCTGAACAAAAAAGAAGAAAAGGATGGTAAAAAGACACTCGGTATGAGACAGTAATAGACTACTGGAAAGCGTTGTAGGTAAGTGTTTTTGAAGCACTGCGGTAGCCTGGGTTCGAATTTCTCACGGAATGTTCGGAGTCAATTACGTTTATTGTGTAGTAGCGGTGTAGGAATATTCACTTCCACATATCACCCCATGGCTGTCGTAAGAGTCGACAGAAGGAAAAAAAATCAGGAGATAGGCAGCAGCGTAAATATGGCAAATATCCTCCTATGTGGGCATCTATGGGGAGGCCTATGTCCGACAGTGGACTTTGGTAGGCTGTAAAGGTATTGACATAATACATGTAGATATTCTGGGTCTGGGCGTTTTTTAATGTGCTATTTATGTAAAACGCATGCAGTAGAAAATATTTAAGTGAAGATTACGTTTTCCTAAGACACAAGAGTCCATCCATTTCTTGCAGGTAATAGAAAGCTTGTATAATATAATCAAGTAATTTATTCAAAGGTAACAAGGCATCTGAACCATACTTTGTTTGAAGTTGTTTGCAGTTTCCCTTAGATTACAGAAGATATTTATCATCAGGTGAACTGTTATTTAATTTTTCACTTAAGTTTATCATAAGTTCATCTTTGACTGCATCACTACGTAACATCACATATAATAAGAATACAGAAGTTGGTGGTGTTTTACTCCCGTGCATTGAAAAGTATAAAAAGCCGTTGGTACTGCACTTAAAATCGCTCCGGCTGTGTTGGATTAACCCGTATCGGACTATGAGAGCGAATTAATAGAGAGTGCACGTATGCTAGCGAATAATTGTCGCACTCTAACTCTGTCCTGCGCAGATGGCTAGTTGCTTAAGGATGGCTGCCGTGACCAAAATTCGGTTTGAAGAACATTATTATTATTATTATTACGTTACATCAGATGGAAGTGGTCAAGAAAATGTATATATAATTTAAAAAGTTCCATGACTATAAAGGACTGCAAAAATTGCACAAAAGTCGTTTGTAGCAGTAACAGTGAACGAGACTTACCAATTGAATTGAAAAACTTTCTTGATGTGGTAATCCTCAGCCACTTTCTGTTTATGATTATGTCCGACATAAAACTAAAAGGAAAACTTAGTACGAATGTGGCTAAATACGGGAGCGCGGATAACATGCCATTCTGAAAAATAATACAATTCGTAAAAGTTGACTTTCTTTAACCATTATGAGTGAAGATGCAGGTTTGTATTCTCCATAGTGTTTTTAACTGCCTTATTATAATGGTCGTAAACGAGACTGTTAATCATGTGATCCCGGAATTAATCCCGGATAGGGCCAAAATCAGTTATTGAATTTTTCTGCCAAAAATTGTCAATAGCAACCTGGAGTTAAGAAAGTTGACGGTGTTTGCCCCACCTTCCTCGTAATAGTCGTATTAGTTGTAAAGTCGTTGCTCCTGTGCCTGCTCTCTCCTTCAGAATGCTATCCTATTGGACTATGAAAGTGATAGAGAGTGTTTTATATTGTGTGTATACTAGAAGCAAATACGAGCTAGTAATAACAGTTAGTCCACTTTACACATCAATTCGATCATGGTGAAATGTTTACGCCTTTACAAAAAAAAATCACAAGCAAATTATAAATTTTTTCTACCGCTTATTTTTATTTTTGTAAATTAAGTTTATTGAGGGTCTTTTTTCGTTGACAGAATTCGATCAACGAAAAATTAAAAACGTATTCACAAGAAACTTGCAGATTATGCAAAATCCTACAAATCACATTGCTAGTTGTTTTTGGAGTATGTAGTACTGTAGTATAATAATAAAGGGGTTATTATGGGACTGAGATAATCGCTACCATGCTATTTCTAATTTGTTATTTGTTGTTAATTATCGTGTAACTTAAGTAACTGTAATCTGTCCTTTTTGTAAGAGAAAGTTCCCACTGGGTTTCTTGCTATTTCTTCCCAGGACAGAGGCATTTTCTGAACCAATAGTCAATGGAACATAAGTGTGGCTCTCAATTAGTATTATTTAGTTTTTAAATATATTCAATGAAAAGTTTGTATTTCTATCAACTGAGTTATTTATCTGCTAATTTCATTAGACGTTATCGCACTTACGGAGAGTCCCCGCATGCTGTGTAATGACCAATGAAACTGAGCTCTAAGCAATATATATGGATGGATTAATAAAGATTTGTCAATGAAATTCTTGAGGAAATGCTGCTGCTAAGGCCTTTGTATAGCTATAAGGAAGAGGCTGTTTACGAACTGATGACGATCGAAGGAGAATACTCACGGTTTTAATATTCACTCCAAATACTTTGTGCATGTACGTTGGTATTTCAGTAAGGAGGGTATAGAAGCCCCATTTGAAGCCACAGTGAGCAACAACTACAGACAGGAAAGGCAGAGATGTGGCTATGGATCTCCATGGAGTTTTTAGTTTCTGTAAACAATTTTATAATTTTAATACTATAATATAGTACTGTCATAGTGTAGTTCGTCAATCTATAATCCCTTTCTTATCTTTTATTACATCACTTATCTGTTATACCTTTATTTAAATCTGGCAATACATTGGACCCCACTAATTTTAGACCTATTTCCGTACTACCAACGCTCAGTAATTTTTTTTAAATAAAATATTTTAGATCAAATATTAAGTTTTCTTTAATGTAAATAAATTATTTTCGACTGTATTTACCATGAGACAATCAAGAAGCTACATCATTATGGCGTAAAAACATAGCGTTTAAACTTATTATGTCATATCTTAATAATAGAATGAAACAGGTGTTATTAAGGTATCTATGGGTGTTCCTCAGGGCTCAGTTATTGGTCCCCTTCTGTTCTTAGTTTATATTAATGACTTACCCTACTTGGTAGGGAATTACCAAGTTATAGTATTTTTAATGATGATACTTCGTTGATTTTCCGACTAAAAAGGCAATTATTCAAATATGACGTAGTGATTAATGCTATATCAAAATTAGTTTATTGGTTTAACGTCAATAATTAGCTTTTGAACGGTAATAAAACGAAATGTATTAATTCACTACTCCTAATGTTAAAAAGGTAAATACCAGTGTGCTTTTAAATGGGGAGGAGCTGAGCCTTGTTGAATCCACTGTTTTTCTAGAAATTGCAGTTGACGCAAAGCTTCAATGAGGCCATCATATATCTAAACTAGCTAGTAAACTTAGTCCTGCAGCACATGCTGTAAAACAGATTAGATGCCTTTTTCCATAGCATAATGTCATATAGAATCATGAAGAACAATGACATTGAAACTATCTTTGTTTTGCAAAAGAGAGTCGTAAGAACAATTTATAACCTACGTCTGAATGAATCCCTTAGAGAAAAATTTAAAGAAATTAATATATTAATTTTTGCTTTTCAATATACTTACGAGAATTAAATGTATGTACACAAAAACAAAAATAGTTTTATTAAAAATAGTAATGTACATTCCGTAAATACTAGGAACAAGCACAACTTAGTTATAGAACTTACTCGACTCCAAAGAGTCAGTTTTGCCTTCATCGGGCAATGTATATGCTTTTACAACAAAGTCTCTAGCTGGGTTTTTTGCAAACCAGTTGTAAAAGTAAAAAAAAAGTGCCGGTTTTTGACACTTTTTTATAACGCAGCATTATTTTGTTATTTGATGCTGATATTTTTTAACTCATTTTTTTCTATAGGAGAGGGGGCAAACGAGCATGCGGCTCACCTGATGGTAAGTGACTACCGCCGCCCATGAACAACTGCAACACCAGGGAGGGAATTGCAGATGCGTGGCCGGCCTTTTAAAAAGCAGTACGCTCTTTACTTGAAGGTCCCTAAGTCGTATTGGTCCGGAAAAATCGCTGATGTAATCGATTCCACAAGGAAGTCGTGTGAGGAAGAAAACGTCTTCTAAATCGCACAGTGGTGGACCGCCAATCATCCAGATGGTGTGGATAGTATCGGCAGTTCTGCCGCGATGTGCGTTCGTGAAATTTGGCGGCTGGTATTAATCCGAACAATTCCTCAGAGCACTCCCCGTGGTAGATGCGAAAGAAAATGCAAAGGGATGCAACATCTCTACGCAATGCCAATGAATCTAATATATAATAAATATAATGAGGACTGGTATTAGTGCTTGACGTAAACGGATAGTGTGTAGTAATTGGACGGAAGTACCGATGCCAACAGATTATTCTACTCCTTTGATGTACGCATAAGATGAATCAAACCGTTTGGTTCAAATGCGTGGAATATCGCCTATAAAGGAACCGAGCAGTGACATTTATTTGTAGTGTGCTGGCGGCGTTAGCAAATCTATCGTCATAGGTACTCATTTCTGGTACTGCGATCGTCATTCCATCTGCCAAGGGTCATGACTAATGTAAATCCTTACTACACTAGTTGTTATCAACAAGGTAGAGCCATCCTGCAGCTATATTATGGTTGTAGCACGAATGGGTCGGCTCGACCGGAGTAGGACCACGCTCTCACAGAATACCAGTGTAAAATAGCAGTTTAAATCTGTTGTGTTTTGTGTGGTTACTGTAGAGAACCGGAGCCTCACTTACTGGAAACGAGGCATTCGATCTAAGTCATCAGGGGTGATAAAGTATCTTCATTTTGGTTCTTAATCGAGGATAATTGTAGATTGATGTCTATGGCCCACAGCATCCATTTACCATCAGATCAATTCTGTGCTTGTTTTTTTTTCCATGATGGTTGATGATGATGAAGAAGAATTTTCATTTTCTTACTTGATGGCCACCAACATGTCCCAGCGATATTTGAATATATCTTTTCTCTTGTTCGCTGATTATTTTCGATTCTTGTGGCGAATTCGAGCCAAGTACCATGTACAAAATCGCCCAGAGAACTCCAAGTATTCCATTTGAGTAGAATATAGAAGACCAACCCCAGTAATCCGCTATGATACCGCCTGTCAGTAACTGAAGGGCTGTACCCAACTGTGCTCCTGAAATAAGTAGATTTTAGTGATTTATACCAGAACAAGTCAAAAGATAACTGCTGAACATTGCCCTCTCCCATAGGTTGCCTCATAGGATAGATATTTACCATTGTTGCCACGCTTGGCGAGCGGGTTGGCAACCGCAGTATTTTATTATGCTGTTATCAAGAAGATGCTGCTGTCCATGTCCTGTTTCATTTTCCACTCATTCACCTCTTACGAAACTATGGGGATAATATTTTTTAGTGAATATTTCTATACCGCCACTACAAGAGACACTATATTGGTAGTCTTAGTCTCGAAAATTTGAAATCAGGAATTTTTTTTTCCATTTTCGACATAAAACTTTAAAACTTTATTTAACAAAAAACTGACGAAGATATAGCGTAATATACTCGTAAATATAACAATGTTTATAGTAGGCCATAAAGGCATTACAACGCATGACAGGTACAGCTAGCATGATATATAATAATACTTTAATTATTGTAATAATAACTGATCTAAATAATAAATGAGATCGAAAAACTGTCAGTGGTGCGTTACTAAATAATAAAAAAATCAGATTTTCTCTACGCTAATTAAATAAGGGCTTATTTTCCAATCATCATCAAGTGATATAATTAAACTATTTTATTACTTCTACTACTACTACTACAGCCCATCACATGTCCACTGATGTACATAGGCCTCTCCTATATAATCTTGCTACAGAGTACGGTCTTGAGCCACCTGCATCCATCGACCAGCTGGGTGTTTCACCAGATTGTCACTCCGTTTAATAGGGGATCGCATAACACTGCGCTTGACAGTATAAGGCTGTCACTCGAGAACCTTTCTTCCTCATCGGTTGTCGGCTCTTACAGCTATATGGCCGGCCCATCGCAACCAAGAACCGAAAACCGATGGGGAAAAAGGTTCTCGAGTGGTGGCCTCGTACTGGCGGATGAAGTGTAGTGCATCCTCCCACTAAATGGAGTGACGACCTCATAAAACATGCAGGAATCCGATTGATGCAGGTGGCTCAGGAACGTGCTTTGTGCCATTCCTTGGGGGAGGCCCATGTTCAGAAGTGGATTTGTGAAGGGCTCTAGTGATGATGATGATGATTGTGTCAGCCCTTAAGGAATTTAAAAGTCTCTGTCTCTATTTATACAAGCGTGTAACCAGTTATTTTTGTAATAAAACTAGACCCTCTCTGTCTGAAAGTATATTAAACTGCTATTTGTTTTTTACGTGCCCACTATAAAAATGAAAATAAAATCTCATAAATAATTGTTAATTTTACTTGTATTTGAGTTTGACAGGGTATGATTTATAAAGTACTTTATTAAAATGTCTTGTAATGACTGCCTCAATGCCTAGACTATGAGACGAAAGGGTTTGACCTCACCCAAAACTTTAAATTTTTTAACTTGTATATTAGTGCACTAATAGAGGAGCTCAGCAGTAATCGGGTCGGCTGCCATATTAACAAAGTATGTAATGCTAGCTATGCGGATGATACGGTGTTGGCCTGAGTAAGTTGCTAGCCATTTATGAGGAAAATGCTGTTAGTCATGGACTGAAGTACAATCTGAGCAACAGTGACTTCCACTAGGAAGTCAACTAAGCAGTCCACCTATTAAATTAAAAATAGATAGATACTCTGAAGATATTAGAACAGTTTAAATATCTTGGAATTTTGGTAACCTCTGACCTGAGGGACAATTTAGATATTGATAGAGAGCGCAGGTCATTGTCTGTAAGAGCTAATATAATATATAGCCCGCAGGTTTTCTATAATACTGAAATTAAAGTTAAACTATTCAAAGCTTATTGCACATTCATCTACACGAGCATTCTCTGGGTTAATTACTCTCAACAACAGTACAACGCTCTGCGCGTGCAATACAATAAAGCATTTCGAGAGCAGATGGGCTGCCTCGGTTTTGCAGCGCCTCGAATATTTTCGCTGAAGTGCGACTGGATTGCTTCTACGTGACCATATGCAAGCGGTGTACATCCCAGGTACGTAGGACCCGGTCCAGATCTTACAGCATCCTAGTGATGTTTACGAATAGAGTCAACTCTCAGTACCTGAACCCTGAACCATTGCTGTATAAAAGTTAAAGTTAAAGTTACAGCCTATATACATCCCACTACTGGGCACATGCCTCCTCTCATTTCTGAGAGGGTTTTAGGGCAAGGAAAGGTCCGCCGCGCTGCCCCAATGCGTGTTGGCGAACTTCACACGTCTTCTAAATGTATTTTTTTTCTTATTTGTCAGACATGCAGGTTTCCTCACGAACTTTTCCTTCACCGCCAAGCACGTGGTAAATCAGCACTTAAAATTTCAATTGACAATTTCATTGGTGCCGGTGGGGATCGAACCCGGGTTTCTCACGTACTGTGAAAATTACAGCGAGCGCTAACCACCTGAGCTACCGCGGCTTGTTCTTAATGCGATGAGGCGTTCTCTGCCAGTCGACCGTGATTACCAAAGACAATTGTTGGCATGTGCGTAACATCTAACTTAAATAAAGTGTAAATTTAATAAAAAATATATATACATAGTACATACACATTCAATGGATTTAGGTGGCTCAAGGCTGTGCTTTGTAGCAATCATTTTTGGAATTCCAGTTCAGTAGTAGATTTGTATGGGGCTGTAATAATGATGGTGATGATTAACCATACATTGTTAGTAATTACAATTGTGAATTGGAACTGAACCAATTATCAATAAATGCATATATTGTTTTAAAGAACAACAAGAAGACAACTAAAAATTTCTAGAAGGCATGGCAGTGCTTGATTGATGGTTTTCATTGAGTTCTTTATGGATATTAACCTCACCCTTCCATTATACAATAACAGTCAAGTAGTAGAGAGTGCTAAGAATATCCGGTGGTGGTTCACGCACGCAGACTTGACGACTTCAAGCCTCCCGAACAAGCCAGTTTACGAATACGCTTTAGTACCATAGACCACATACACACCCTTCGGCAAATTTTACAAAAGACAGAAGACTACAATCTGCCACTTATCCTTGCGTATGTGGACTATGAGAAAGCCTTTGATTTTGTCGAAATTTGGGCGGTGCTACAGTCTCTTCAGTGGTGCCAAGTTAACCGTCGGTATATCGAAGTCCTGAAGTGTTTGTATGGTAGGGCTATGATGGCTTTCCGAGTACAGAATCAGAGTACGAAACTTATCCAACTGCAGAGAGCTGTAAAACAGGGTGACGTTATATTCCCGATACTCTTCACCGCTTCATTGGAAGACATTCCCAAGCTACTGGACTGGAAAGAATACGGTATTATCATCAATGGCGAGTACACCACTCACCTTCAATCTGATTTCGTTATAGTCCTTATGGCAGAATCTCTGGAGGACTTAAACACTATGCTCAATGACCTCCATAGTATCTCCCAACGGACAGGTCTTAATATGAACATGGACTAAACAAAGACCATGTCAGTTTTTGGGAGCACTAAGCTTGAAGTTGTTGACTAGTTTGTTTACCTGGGTGAAATAGTTCGTCTAGGTAAGTTCAACTTTCAGCGAGAGGTCAATCGACGGATTCAACTCGGCTAGGCAGCGTTCGGGAAATTACGACACATCTTCTCGTCAGGTGTACCTCAAAACCTGAAAATCACACAGTGTGCAACCAGTACAACCAGTGCGTGTTGCCAGTGATGATTTATAGATCTGAGACGTGGTCCTTCACTGCTGGCCGTATAAGCACGCTCAAGTTCGCTCAGCGAGCTATGGAGAGGGCTATGCTCGGGGTTTCCATGCGTGATAAACTTATAAATGAGGAAATCCGCAGTAGAACCAGAGCCCAATGTATTAGTAAGCTGAATTGGCAATGAGCCGGCTATATAGCTCGAAAAACCAACAACTGATGGGGAAAAAAGTTGTCGAGTGGCAGCCTCGCACCGGTAAGGGAAGTGTAGGGCGACCCCTCACTAGATGTGTTGACGACCTGGTAAAACATGCAGGAAGTCGATTTATGCAGGTAGCTCAGGACTGTGCTTTGTGGCATTCCTTGGGGGAGGCCTATGTATCTATATCTATATCTTCAGCAGTAGACTTGTGAAGGGCTGTAATGATGATGATGATGAGTAGAGAGTCGTTAAGAGTCAGAGTGCAGTCAAGTAGTAGAGGGTACTCAAGTTCAAGAGAGTCAAGTACTTTTATAATAATTCAAAATATGATGACTTACCGTTATTGTTATATACTATTAAAGGCCCCCCTCATAGATATAGGTCTCCCTCATAGATGCTGTGTAGTGGCGTTGCGGCGTATGAATATACTGTGTCGTCCTGTAGGTGTCGTGATAGGCGACAGAGGGAAACAAACGAGGGGATGGGCAGCAGCGTCTCCCAAATAACAACTAAAAATCAAAAAACTGCGGTTGTCTACTCGTCTGCCAAACATCGCAACTATGGCAAATATCCTTATGGTGGCTTATGGTAAGTAAAAAATAGTGGCATTCAATTTAGTAGTATTAGTTAAAGTCCATCAGTCTGTAAAGTGTAATGCTACAGAAAGAATACTTTTATGCAAAACAGACCTGCCAACGAACACGTACAACCAACTTCAAACAAAGAGAGCTACTATTATCACCTCTGAGGATTAAAATGGAATGCTTCACAACCTGTATTATATTGACACTCAGTCATACTTGACACACAGTAGTGCTTGCACTGCTGCTTCTCGGTTGAAATATTTAAGATAGGAAATATTTAGTTTTACTAGGCATAATAGAATATAATATTTTTTTATTCAATTTCGATTACATGTATTTCTTACTAAAAGTCACTGTTTACTTTTACCACAGGTTCGCAAAAAAACCTCTGTCCTGGAAAGAACCAGCAAAACACCCAGCGGGGTTTTTTACAAAGTAAAATTATACAATAAATACATAATATTAACAAAATTTATTTTAGAAACAGCTTGGAAGCAACCACCTCATTAACAGGGAAAAATGAGAACTACAGAGTTATTTATTCATTTATAACTTAAAATTAAATTTCAATATAGACTTTTCCCATAAAGGGCGTTATTTGCCATAGTTGCCTCGTTTGCCTAACGGGTATAATTTTTTTAATTTACTTTGAGTTGTCATTAGGAAGATACTGCTGCCCATGACCTGTTTGATTTTCCTCCATCACCTCACAGGGCTTCCACAAGATGATGAGGGATAGGAGCAATTCTTAATCTAATGACATAGGGTGAGGATGATGATGATAATATTTAACAAATAATGTAAGAGCGTTGGCGGCAAAGTATTCCCAACTGGATTCACCGATGATCCCGTTAATGCTTTGCTGCTTACAGGTTATGGCTATTTTAACAAATAAAAATATTTTTGTAGAAATGAAGATCATAGTATATATATATGACGATATTATGATGTAAGATTTTCAATGACATACATATAATAACGTAGTTAAAAATTTTAAAAGTTACCGCGTTTATTAGAAATGCAAATTATGTGCCTAATGTTAATAAGAAACTATTAAAGTATTAAATTCAAGGCTGTATAATTTAAATAACAAAACATTATAATAACTCCACATGAAAGTTTACCTAAAACTAATTATGTATTCTTTTTTTTACGACGGCCTTCCCGGCTTCACCCGGCTTCGCCCGGCTTCACACGGGTGATCTCTAGATCTCAACAACCTACTCGACCTACCAGGTTCAAATGTGAATATTAACAATCTAAGAACCTATTCAAATTCACACTAAAATCATCAACTAACGACAGCAGTTGATTTTTATACGTAGAGATAATTTGTATATAAAAGATAATTGTAACATAAAATAATAACTTTATTTATTTCATTTATCATCATCATCATCATCATTACAGCCCTTCACAAGTCTACTGCTGAACATAGGCCTCCCCCAAGGAATGCCACAAAGCAAGGTCCTGAGCTACCTGCATCCATCGACTTCCTGCATATCTTATCAAGTCGTCACTCCATCTAGTGGGGGGACGCCCAACACTTCGCCTGCCGGTACGATGCTGCCACTCCAAACATTTTTTCCCGATCGGTTGTCGGTTCTTTGAGCTATATGGCCGGCCCATTGCCACTTCAGCTTTCTAATCCGTTAGGCTATGTCGGTCACTCTGGTTCTACTGCGGATATCCTCATTCCTAGGTTTATCACGCAGAGAAACTCCGAGCATAGCCCTCTCCATAGCTCGCTGAGCGACCTTGAGCTTCCTCATATGGCCAGCAGTGAAGGACCACGTCTCAGTTCCGTAAGTCATCACTGGCAACACGCACTGGTTGTACAATTTCGTTTTAAGGTTTTGAGGTATGTCTGACAAAAAGATGTGCCGTAATTTCCCGAACGCTGCCCAACCGAGTTGAATCCGTCGATTGATCTCTCGGTCAAAGTTGGACTTACCTAGTCGAAATATTTGTCCCAGGTAAACATACTCGTCAACAACTTCGACCTTAGTGCTCCCAACAACTACCGGCATAGGTGTGACATGGACATTAAACATGATCTTTGTTTTGTCCATGTTCATCCTAAGACCTATCCGTTGGGAAGCACTATTGAGGTCATTGAGCATAGTGCTTAGGTCCTCCAGCGATTCTGCCATAAGGACTATATCGTCGGCAAATCCAAGGTGAGTGACGTACTCGCCATTAATGGTGATACCGTATCCTTTCCAGTCCAGAAGCTTGAAAACGTCTTCCAATACAGCGGTGAAGGGTTTCGGGGATATGACGTTACCCTGTCTTACACATCTCTGCAAATGGATAGGTTTCGTACTCTGGTTCTGTACTCGGATAGTCATCGTAGCCCTACTGTACAAGTACTTCAGCACTTTGATACACCGACAGTCAACTTGGCACCGCTGAAGGGACTGCAGCACCGCCCGAATTTCGACGGAATCAAAGGCTTTCTCATAGTCCACATACGCCAGACATACTGGCAAATTAAACTGCTCTGACTTCTGTACAATTTGCGGAAGGGTATGTTTGTGGTCTATGGTGTTAAAGCCTTTTCGGGAACCGGTTTGTTCGGGAGGCTGGAAGTCGTCAAGTCTGCGCGCGAGACGATTCGTAATGACTCTCGAAAACAGCACGTAGACGCGGCTAAGAGGGAAAATCAGTCAGTAGTTCTTCATGAGAGCGTTGTCGCCTTTCTTGAAGAACAAGACCACCGCACTTCTGCTTCACGCCTCCGGTGTAATGCCACCATGGAGGACGGAATTAAAGAGCTACTGAACGACTTCAAGTACCGGTTTTCCACCCGCTTTCAGAAGCTCCGCTGTAATTCCATCATCGCCTGGGGCCTTGCCGTTTTTAAGGTGCTGGAGAGCCATTCTAATCTCGCTCAGACTGACGTCTGGGATATCATCGGAATAATGTCGGATAAGACTCGCTCTTGGATCGTTACTCACACTTGCGTGTGGCTCCAACGATGACGTGTACAGCTGCCCATAGAAACTCTCAATCTCACTCAAAATCTCAGGTGCCCCGGAAACAATGCTGCCATACTCTGTTTTCAGCTTCGAAAGTTGGCTCTTTCTGGCAGACAGGTCTCTAGCAAAGATTTTGGAGCCTTGGTTCCGCTCGATCGCTTCTTCAATACGAGCTGTATTGAAGTTGCGTAAGTCCCGCCGCATGCATTTGGAGATTTGTCTATTCAGTTGCCTGTATGCTGTCAAATCTGTTGAAGAATGTAGCTTCATCTCCCGTCTAACAGCCATGAGATTAAGAGTGTGATCGGAGAGTTTTTTTGTTCTTCTGTGGCGTGTCTTGCAGAACTTAGCTTCGACGGCATGGACAGTTTCCACGAGCTTGTCATTCATATCGTCCACTTCATTGCAGTCTTCTAGGCACTGAAAACGGTTTTGTAACTCGAGCTGAAAGTTTTCGGGACTTTGGAACACAACACGAGGGGGACGGAGCGTTGATTTCATTAGACGAGACCTCTCCAACTTAACGTTTAGGTTCAGTGTGCCTCTAACCATTCGGTGATCGCTGCCGGTTTACACCCTCGCGATTACGGAGACGTCACTGAACAGTTGTCGTCTGGTCGTCATAATGAATTCAATCTCATTATTGTCGAACCGTCGGGGTTCGACCAGGTCCACTTTCTGTGGGGCCGCTTCAGGAAGAAAGAGTTTCTCTTTCCATGAAGTCGGACAGCCTCTGGCCCCCTGAGTTCCGTTGCCCTATTCAAAATTGCCCTACCTTCAGCTGATCGTTATCTCGTGTGGCTAGTTTTACGTTGAAGTCTCCTATTAACACCGTATAGATAAATATATCCTCATAAATTTTCTCTACCTTGTCATTGGGATGTGCCGAGGTTGGTGTTTAAACCTGTATGACTTTCAGCGAATATCATTTGATGATTCTGAGTATAAGGTACGCAACCTTTGTTGACACACTCTCAATCTTTACAACGTTGTTAACGAGAGACTTGTGGACGATAAATCCGACACCTCCTTGGGACAGATGGTCTCGGTAATAGAGCAAGCTGGGGTCTGGGGGCCGTCTCTTAGTAACTTTATTCATTTGGGGGGTATTTGCCATAGTTGCCACGCTTGGCGAGCGGGTTGGCAACCGCAGTTTTTTTATTGTATTTTTAAAAGCTTTTACAAAAATTTTTATGTTATCAGGAATTGTAATTATAATATTAAGGAATTGTAATATAATTGTATTGTATTTTTGCTGTTATCAGGAAGATGCTGCTGCCCATCTCCTGCCTGTTTCCCTTTGTCGTCTTTTACGACACCCACGGGAAGATATGGGGTAGTGGATATTTTTAACCGCCACTACACGGAAAATTTTATTTTATTTATATATATATTTAATTTTATTAATTATTTATCTTAAGATAGGCACTTACCCAAACAGGTTGTTAAGGTGTAACACACGTAAATAATAAGCTAACATCTAAATAACACTTTACAATTAAAAATTTTAAATTTATATTCATATCAGAAATTTTAGAAACCCATGTGAATAAATAAATTTAATTGTATATACACCAATACTCACAATTTATATGTATTTTTGTATTATATTAATTAATTGATTAACCAAATATAATTAAAAATATATCATAGGTTTGTTACTTGTAGATTATAACTAATATTGTGTTACCCGTAAAGGTTCTTAAGGTGTAACACACGTAAATAATAAGCTAACATATATTTAACACTTTACTTAAAATATATAATTTTAATTTTAATTAGTTTTCATTTCAGAAATTTTAGAATATCCATGTGAGTATGCCTTAAATTTAATTACGCAATACTAACAATTTATCTTACCAACGTACACAAAGACTCCTATCCGTGTTTTCTCATTCAACGGAGCCCATTTTGCGAGAAGATTATGCGCCGCCGGCATGAGAAATCCTTGAAATAAACCTTGGATTACTCTACAGGCGCAAACCGTTTGCCATCCTCCCTTTAAGAAAATAATAAAAAAGGATTTAACTCTCAAATACTAATTTTCTAAAGAACTGCACACTTTAAACAATAACTAGTTTATGATTTGGATATGTTTCACTGCTGAATATAAGCCTCCCTCATAAATTGCCTCATAGGAAATGTTTGCCATATCTGCCACGGTTGGCAAGCTAGTTGGTAATCCCAGTTTTATATTATTTAGAGTTAACGTCAGAGAGATGCAGCTTCTCTATGCTGATCTCTGTCTCATTTACATCTATTGCCTCTTATGAATGCTGATGTGTTGTCACCCCTAAGGACTTTTCACTCTCTTTAGGAAACACAAAGTCATCGAGCTGCTATTTCACGCTGGTATTCTCTATAAGAGCGTAATACTTCTCCGTTCAAGCTAACACATTTGTAGCACGACCATAATATGGCTGCAGCATGGCTCTACCACGTGGGAATGTGTCATGTTCTGTTTCTGTCAAATCATATTTTAGTGATCCTTGCTGTTCAGCTCACTGAACGACCAATGAGTTGAGGGGAGCAGTAAAATCAGTCTGCTAGTGGCCACCCACGACTCGCTTGGTGTAAGGAGGGAGTGAGGACTTGGCAGTGAGACAACGCATGCGTGCCTAAATAATATCATTTTTTAATTTGTTTATATTCGTCTTAGTTCCCAATCATACTTATTTTATAAAATTACAGTCATTTAGTTATACAAAGTTAACAACGATACATTTGGTCCTTCGAGCCAGATATGATCCAGAAACCTATGGATCTACACACAGATCACCTTGTCTATCTCTTCTTATCCCTGCAGGCCTGTTACTTCTAACTTGCTCTTCCAGGTTGTCAGCAGTAAAGGAATATAACCTAAGAAAACTTGATTTTTTTAATAAGTAGTGGATGTCAAACGATTAAATAGTCCATCTGAAGTTGAAAAAAGCTTTGGCTCTACAAAAGAAACGAACATTTTTACTCATTTCAAAAACGAACATTTATCCTAGATTAAAAATTAAAATGCTGATGCGTTGCACCCATGAGGTCTTCGGAATGCTCTGTAGGCAGTAAGACTGGACTTTGGTTCTCGTCATTCAACATAATCATGAACTACGCAACAATATAATGCTCCCTTTTACGCAGGTACTATGTGCGATGTTTTTTTTTTTTCACTAATATAAGTTTTTGCTTCACTATTCCTCTAATTCTTAATATATAATTGTGTTACTTACATGATACGGTGTTAACATATTTATGGCAAATTAAATGTCGTGACCGTGACAGTGTAAAAATATCGACTAGCCTGCATCGTTCTATGGGTGTCGTTAGGGACGACAGGGGTAAACAAACCATTAAATGAGCGGAGTTTCCTAATAACAGCTAAGTGGTTGCTAACTTGTGAAGCGTGGCAACTATGGTAAATATCATTTAATGCAATCCGTGGTGGCTTATATTTAGAGAAAGGTTAGATTATAAGAAAAAGAATAAAAGCAGTTTTTAAGCATTGCCATAACGTAACGGACACTGTACATTTAGCATGTAATAATTAGATTTTGAATAAAGGTCTTTCATTAAATGTATATAAATTGTTTTGATAGAATAAGGGCGATAAACGGATACAAATATGATAAGTAGATACTGTTACATCTATCCTCAATAAAGAGTCAAAATGCAGATGCGTTGTCACGCCCGAAGACTAAAAGGGAATACTTCGTTTCCAGTAAAAATGGTCTCTGGTTATCTGCACTTACCATACGAAACACAGCAACATTAAGTTGCTATTTTACGCTGCTGGTATTCTGCAAGAGCGTGATCTTTTCTTGGTTGTGCCGATCCATACATGCTACAAACCTTAACATATTTGCAGCGCGGCCCTCCCATACATATTTAAAATAGCAGCATTAACTGATTGTTGATGTAATATATAGTTGAAAATGACAATTCCATACTTACATAATAAGCGCACATTGGCAGTGCTAACGAAGCTAAAGCGTTGACTCCTACGCAAATTATTGTTAATATTTTGCCACCAAACCTATTGGCTAGCTCTCCAGCAACTACTTGCAGAATCAGGTAACCCCAGAAGAATGATGACAGTATCACGCTTTGTACTCGGATGCTCCAATCAAAAGACTGCAATGAGATAATAACATTTGCGTGGACTCTAAGGCTCGTCATGATTGAATAAAAGTAATTGTCTGATTTCGGAGCCATGACCCTGAGTACTCAGGGCAGTTACCCGTAAACTTCAATGTACGCAAGCAAATACGTCTGCCAAAAAAGTGCCACAAAGTACAGTGATGAGCCATCTGCATACACTGACTTCCATATACTTTGCATATCCCGTACTAACTCGACACTCCATCTAGTGGGCAACTGCACTAAACTTCGTTTAACGGTACGATGGTGCCATTTGACAGATTCAATATTTGACAAGAGAAACAAAGGTAAGACAATATCATATAATATAATAGCAATGTACCATAATTATGTGGCTCATGGGACAGGAATGGGTTAGCAACCTCTTTCTCTGTTTCATTGGATGTAGGTTCTATAAGCTATATGGCTCGTTCTAGGACACTTTGGAATTATGCAGCTGCAAAATTTAAATTTTAGATCGTATTCGGAAAGTTTCTTTTCGTCCATACCCTTTTACTCATTAGAAGACCGTTTACAATCACTATACCAACGAGACAGTTGGTCTTTTATGACGTAAAACACCAAGAGCGGTGACGAGAAGCAGTTTCAAAGGTGCGAGACTTCTAGTAATGCAAACATCAATCTGCTTGCCTAACGTGAAGATTAATGACAAGTCAGTGGATTTTGACGCTCTGATGATGAAGAATAAGAAGATACAATTAAATAAAATGAAACTATATTTTTCGGATTTTATCGCGTTTATTTTGTACTTTTTTAAGTTACGACATTTTGGTGTTGAAGTGTTTGACATCCCGATGTCATTGTTAACCGTCGATACCCTAAACACGATAAAATCCATAACATTAGTTTTATTCCATGTAATATGTAGTATTTACCTAAATATAAGAAATCGTTATGTAATTGTATGAATAAAAAACTATCAATTTTCTTACATTGGTCTGGGTAGTGTCAGTCATGACAACTATTGCGATGCTCATATTGGCTGTCATCGCAAAACACAGCATGAACGCGAAGAACAACATCAACGCTTGAACATGTCGAAAACCAAGCAAGCTGCCTACGAAAATAAAACAGAAAATTATTTCAACATTTTTTTTGATATTTTTCTTATTAACGTTTGACAAACAAACTTACAGTCCACCTTATGGTAAGTGGCTTCTGCTGCCCAAGGACATATGCGACCGACTTCAAGCAAAGAAGGCAACATATGCGTTGTCAATACTGAGGACTAAGATAGAATGTCTCACAGCCTGTTGGAACAGAAACATAGCAGTGCAAGCAGTACTGCTGTGGTCCTGTTCCTTTTTTGGTAGCAAAAATAGGTAAAAAGTTGGTGCAGTGGTGGGTAAGAATACCCATTACCTCATATATTCCCGTGGGTGTCGCAAGAGGTGACAGTGGGAACCTGAGGCTGTGAAGCAGAACATGGGCAGCAACATCTTTCTGATAACAGCGAAACAAAAATATAAAACCGCGGATGCCAACCCGCCGCCAAGCGTGGCAATTATGGCAATATGGGGTATATTGCCAATGAATAAAGTTACGAAGAGACGGCCCCCAGTCCCCGGCGGCCCCACTATTCCTAGCAACGGTGGCGACCATGGTAACGGCGTGGCAGGGTGTGCTAAGAATATCCGATGGAGGTTCGGTTGCCACCTAAGACGACTCAACCTGGCAACATATAACGCACGCATCCTGAGGACTGTCGAGGAGATCCTGGAGCTGGAAAAAGAGATAGACAAGTTGCGCTGGAATATCATAGGATTATCCGAGGTCCGAAGAGTGAGGAAGAAGATGGAAATGTAGGGTAACCTTCTGTCCCAAGGAAGTGTCAGATTTATCATCCACAAGTCTCTCGTTAACAACGTTGTAAAGATTGAGAGTGTGTCAACAAAGGTTGCGTACCTTATACTCAGAATCATCAAATGATATTCGCTGAAAGTCATACAGGTTTAAACACCAACCTCGGCACATCCCAATGACAAGGTAGAGAAAATTTATGAGGATATATTTATCTATAAGGTGTTAATAGGAGACTTCAACGTAAAACTAGGCACACGAGATAACGATCAGCTGAAGGTAGGGCAATTTTGAATAGGGAAACGGAACTCAGGGGGCCAGAGGCTGTCCGACTTCATGGAAAGAGAAACTCTTTCTTCCTGAAGCGGCCCCACAGAAAGTGGACCTGGTCGAACCCCGAAGGTTCGACAATAATGAGATTGAATTCATTATGACGACCAGACGACAACTGTTCAGTGACGTCTCCGTAATCGCGAGGGTGTAAACCGGCAGCGATCACCAAATGGTTAGAGGCACACTGAACCAAAACGTTAAGTTGGAGAGGTCTCGTCTAATAAAGTCAACGCTCCGTTCCACTCATGCTCTCGTTCCTCCTTGTTCAATACAGCTTGTATTGAAAAACGGTTGAGCGGCACCAAGGTTCCAAAGTCTTTGCTAGAGATCTGTCTGCCAGAAGAACCCAACTGTCAAAGCTGAAGACCGAGTGTGGCAGCATCGTTTCCGTACACCTGAGATTTTGAGTGAGATTGAGAGGTTCTATGGGTAGCTGTGTACGTCACCGTAGGAGCCACACGCAAGTGAAAGTAACGATCCAAAATTGAGTCTTATCCAACACTATTCCGGTGATATTCCGCACGACAGTCTGAGCGAGATTAGAGTGGCTCTCTAGCACCTTAAAAACGGCAAGGCCTCAGACGAGGATAGAATTATAGCGGAGCTTCTGAAAGCGGGTGAAATACCAGAACTTAAAATCTTTCAGAAGCTCTTTAATTACGTCCCCCATAGTGGTATTTCACCGGAAGCGCGGAGCAGAATTGCGATGGTCTTATTCTTCTAGAAAGGCGACAATGCTGTCTTGAAGAACAACAGACCGATTGCCATTCTGATCAACATCTATGTAATGTTTTCTAGAGTCATTACGAATCGTTTCGCACGTAGACTTGACGACTTCCAGCCTCCCGAACAAACCAGTTTCCGAAAAGGCTTTAGCATCATAGATCACATTTATATCCTTCGGAACATTGTACATAAATCCGAGGAATACAATTTGCTACTATGTCTCGCGTATGTGGTCTATGAGAAAGCCTTTGATTCCGTCAAAATTTGGGCGGCGCCGAAATCCCTTCAGCGGTGCCAAGTTGACTGTCGATATATCGATTGATGAAGTGTCCGATCCGAGTACTCAACCAGAGTACAAAACTTATCCAACTGGAGAGGTGTAAGACAGGGTGTCGTTATTTCCCCGAAACTCTTCACCGCTGCATTTGAAGACGTTTTCAAGCTACTGGACTGGAAAGGATATCCTATTGACGTCAATGGTGAAGTACATCACTAAACTTCGATTTGCCGACGATATATTCCTTATGGCTGAATTGCTGGAGGACCTAAGCACTATGCTCAATGACCTCAATAGTGTCTCCAAACGGATAGGTCTTAATGAGAAAATACGAAAGTCATGTGTAATGTCCATGTCACACCTATTCCCGTAGTTGTTGGGGACACTAAGCTCGAAGTTATTAACGAGTTTGTTTGCCTGGGACAAATAGTCCAATTAGTTAAGTCCAACTTTGACAGAGAGGTCAATCGACGGATTCAACTCGGCTGAGGAGCGTTCGGGAAATTACGGCATATCTCGTCAGGTATACCTCAAAACTAAAAACTAAACTGTACAACTAGTGTGTATTGCCAGTGATGACCTATAGAACTGAAATGTGGTCCTTCACTGCTAGCAGTGAATGATCATATTGAACGGCCAGCTGTATGAGGACGTTCAAGGTCGCTCAGCAAGCTATGGAGAGGACTATGCGCAGAGTTTCTCTACGTAATAACCTTAGAAATGAGTATATCCGCAGTAAAACCAAAGTTACCGACATAGGCCAAAGGATTAGTAAGCTAAAGTGGCAATGGGCCGGCCATATAGCTTGAAGAACCGACAACCGATGGGGAAAAAAGGTTTTCGAGTGGCAGCCCCTTACCGTAGGACGAAGTGTAGGGCGTGCCTCCTCTATATGGAGTGACGACTTGGTAGGACATGCCGGAAGTCGATGGGTGCAGGTGGCTCATGACCGTGCTTTGTGGCATTCTTTGGGTGGAGGCCTATGTTTAGCAGTGGACTTGTGAAGGGCTGTTATGATGATGATGTCTTTTTTAAACGTTACCTCCACACCGGGATTTTCCCCAGTATTGTGGGGTAGTTTACATAGGTACATAAATTTCAATCTCAACATCCAGACACGGAATAATTATTTGTAGGCCATACAAGTACTTGTTCCGTGCGGGTTTCGAACTCGAGGACCTTAGTGCTGCAACTCGTTGCTAAGCCACTGCGCGAAGGAACCATCGAAGTAGTTTTTTACTTTCAATTTTATTTTTAAGTTAAGTTTATTATTGAAGTTCATAACATCTTCCAGGGAGATCCCATAGTGGTCTTATGACACCCACTCTTGCGTCGTCACTACATGACAAGATAATTCGCTTCCTCGGCTAGATATATATATATATATATATATATATATATATATATATATATATATATATATATATATATATATATATATATATATATATATACAGTGCACAGCTCTTAAATTACTACGACATAACATCGTACGTATGTATGTATATAACGTAACATATTTAAAAGGGTTACAGAGCAAGATAATTTACGTCATCCTGCTTCAATGTAAATTGGTTGACGTCACATCATTCCTTTAGAATACTTTCAATTAAAAGACGTGTCGGATTCTTCTCAACGTTTTACTTAAAATATCCATCAACAATTTTAAGTTAAGTTAAGTTTCCAGTGATTAACGAATCTGGATTCACCATATTCTAAACTTAATATTTTATAAAACCAAGAGCTCTTAAAATAAATAAAATTGCTTAAATAATTAAAAGTAAATAAACTTTTTGTTAATAAATTTACTTACGTGATTTTATATGACTTGCTGGGTTTACTGTTTCTTCAATTTCCATATTTAAAAACCAAAAATTGACCACAACTTAATGAATCTTTGTACAAAAATGCAACTAACCAATTGCGTGTTTGGTGGTCCCTAGTATTTGGTGTCAGTGTCAAACTTGTAGATAAACCCGAGTCATGAAATGTCTGACCAATAGCGCGAGATTGTCCGACTTTAGCATCTTATTTACAGCGTTATACTGCAAGAGATAACAGTAATTAATAGAATTAGGAGTAACTTTGCGAAAATCCATTATGTTATAGATCTAAGACGCACTTTTCACGAAGATCTTAGCTAATAAATTAAAAATCTATAACATATTATAGATTAAGATACGTTGCTGTTGATAAACAAAATCACGGCAATAAGGGCTAATAATTTCCGTTCATCAGATGTTGCTAGTTGGGACTGAAGTGATATTTCTTGTTACACAAAGTAATATAATTAAACGTTGCGTTTTAAATCTAACACCAATCGCGGGAGTAGGTTTCCCCATCACACACATTTTTGGAAATATTTTTCTTGTTTTAAGCGTAATGCGATCTAGACTCCTTGTATTTTCTATCAAATACCTATCCATTAATATTATAATTAAAATTAAGTCTTTTTTTCTTGCTAAATGATAAGACGAAGCATTTATTTTACAGCATAATTATTATTGTATTTAGATGAAGATAGTTTTATTAATGAATTGAGTCTAAATTCGACTGAAGATATAATAAATCGCTATATGTATCGATGACAGAAAAGAGCTTCAAATCATGTACATACTACTTAATTTATCAACAATATCGTTAATAAATATAATAAAAAGTAAAGGAACTAAATGGGATCCTTGTGGCTCACCCGATATTACAGAAGAGGGTGAGGGTTTGAAATCTTTTATAATAACTAACTGACTCCTCCTGTTGAGATATGATTTAATCTATAAACAAACTGCCATTTATACCGTAATATGCTAATTTAACACATAAAATATTATGAACGGTTTTGTC